ATCGATGAATGAACAGCTTGAGACGTGTATAAAAGAATAGAATAATACAAGTATAGTGCTGTGAGAAGGAAGACTTGAACTTAATGCTAATTCTCGAGAAACGAACACATTGCAATTCCGCCATCTCTCTCTCCCCGGTGATTCTTTTTTTAGCACACTGCTTTTTAGGTATACTTGTTGAAACAAGCCTCATTTAGAAAATAGATGTTGTAATCAATGTAGCGCTAGTTTCAATGACGCTCATCATGCTCTTGGAGATGCGAATTTTCTGCTATTTTTTCTAATGTTGTGTTTCACACTATTACATACAAGAACGGTTTAGAAATCATCTTAGGCTATTTTTGACAACCTAAAAGTACAATATTCAATATATAAACTATTGTCGAATCCGACAGGATGCCATCAGTCGTATAATTCAACAATCCGACCAGGTAAGTTCGATCTGGATCGTTGTGATATCAAAAATCAATTTTCAATACAGTATGTTATCCGATTTTAAATCGAACTTATATTCATATTATCAACATAATTAAAATGGACGAAGTCTTTTTGTTCTTTATAATTGCTTTTAGTTATAATGTTTGATATAGCGGAGACTCGTCACATGAAATTAGATATATAACATGTATGTTTAATTTATTCAAAAATAAAAATAAATCGATATTAATGTAAATGTCAAATCATGTGTTGATTGTTTTTTTTTTGACAGATTGAATTTAAAACAAGTATTAACAAATGATTTAATATGAAAAAAAAAAAGATTTTGTTTATCAAATGTAAATCAATCTAGTAGTGACGGTTTCATTAGTTAACGATGATTTTGTCTGACTCAAGAAGAAAAATAATATCTTCATCGTCTTAATAATCGTATGTATGTCGTCAATATTTTTCTTTTCTGTTAGTAATTCTTTATGGATTTTTCCTTTAATAAATACTCATTTCTTATTCATTTCTTATTACATACCTATATATATGTATACAGGTATCTTGTCACTTGTTCACAATTGATATCACCATAAGGATCAAAGGTCACATATTCGCACTTTAGTAATGTCGATTACCATCTAGTAGACTTATCAGTGAGTCATCCGACAAAAAAATACTTGTTCGTAGGTATAATATTAAAGAAAAAAAACCGTTTTACTAGGAAGAAAGAAAGAAAAAGGTACATTAGCTTTTATTTTACATTTATTTCAATATAACAATACGATTAAAATGATATTAGAATCATTAGCAAATGAAGTATTACTCGATTTATTTGAATTTATCAATGGTGTACATCTTCTTCGTGCATTTTTTGATCTTAATTCACGTTTTAATAAATTACTTGTTGTACATTTTCAACGGTATGATATTGATTTTCGTTCTATTTCTAAACAGTATTTTAATACTATTTGTAAAAAACATCTTCCATTAATCACAGATCGAATTATTTCATTACATTTATCGAATGATGATGAAACACCAGATTTACCTAATGTATTTCTTTCTTATGGTTTTACTCTTAATCGTTTCAATCATTTACAGTCACTTAAACTATATTACATTCGTTCTATTGATTTATTAAATCAAATCATAAATCAATGTCGTCATCTTACTTATCTTCGAGCACTTGATATGATTGATTGTTATTTTCTCTATGAGAAAGAAAATATTCGCAACCTAATTAATACTATTTGGAGTTTACCTAAATTAACTCATTGGAATTTTAATCGTCCATTTTCAAGTGGAATGTGGCTAGAAGAAATCTCGATAATTTCATCTTCAATTAAATATTTATCAATTGAAAAAACTGAATGTTATTTTACAAATTTATCTCATTTATTTAAATATACAGCTAATCTTAGACGAATATCTATAAGTATTCCAATCGATTTTGAAGATATGCAATTTCAAACTATTATTTCATCAATCGTATCATTGAAACTCATATTTAATGGTTGTATATCATCGATGAAAAATCTTTTCCAAATTATGCCAAATTTACATCATGTAACTCTTAATATAACATCTTTTCATTTAGATGGATATGAATGGGAAAAAATTCTAATGAATTATTTACCTAAAATAAAAATATTTAAATTAAAAATGAATTTAAATTATCCGAATTTTTATCGAAAAGAAAATGAAATCAATCAATTTCTTGATTCATTTCGAACATATTTTTGGATTGAAAAACATCGATGGTTTGTTCGATATGATTGGAATCCATCTGATATAATTGGCTATGGTATTCTATATACTTTACCATATGTTTTTCAAGATTTTATTTATTCAAATGAAATTTTATCGAAATCAACTTGTATTGATGATAAACATTATTCATCATATGATTGTGTTACAAATTTTTTACAGAAAAATGATAAAAATAATTTAGAAAATTGTTCAACTCTTTTATCTTTACGATTTCCAAATATTCGTCATCTTGAAATTAATATTCCATTTAATGATAATCTTTGGTTAATAATTCCAACATTTGATAAATTAACATCACTCTATATAAAGTTATCAGGCAACAATTTAAATTATAATCAATTACAAGAATTATTTAATCGAGCACCTCGTCTTAATTCGTTGACGATTGGTATTGATAGTTGGAGTTCTATTGATTTTGAATTTTTTTCACTTAAAAGTATATCAATTCGACAAGTTCGTTTTGTTAGAAAAAATAAATTAATTATTCAATATATAAATAATAGAGAATTTAATATATTGATTAATTCTTCTACTGTTTCTCATTGTAATGTTCTTGCATTAGGTATTGAAAATCGAACAAAAATTCTTGATTTAATTAAAACGATATCTAATTTACAATCATTAATTATACAATGTCAAGATGATACATTGAATTATGATGAATCTTTGTCAATAAATGATGAACTTATTGAATGGTTATATTCTTATTTGCCATCAACATATTCAATTACAAGAGATATTGGAACATCAAATATTCGTTTATGGATTGATCGATAATCAATAGATTATCAAATTATTATTTATTTATTATAAACTATTATTTTTTGCACAATAGAAAGATGAATGAACTAATAGACATAATTTTTTCTCTTCGTTTTTATCTTAAACGACTAATTTACAAATAATTTTTACATTTAATAGAAATTTTAGATAGTCTATTCTTCTTGTGTATAATATTTTAATAGTGATACGGAAATGAACTATTCATGCAATGTATTATTTTCTATCGTATTGTTCTATATTTCTTTGAAAATTTACACAAAAGAAGAATAGATTATCAAAAATTCCTATTAAATATAAAAGTTTGAATGTAATACTATAAGAATATTTTATTTTGTCTGAAGAAATTGTATTTAAAACATTGAAACGTCATACTAGTGGTTCTGTAAATATTTACAAATTTATTTAACATAAAAAGGAAGAGAATATATTATGTCGATTAAGAAATGAAGTTATCTCTATACTTGCTACTGAATCTACTGTATTACAGATATTCGTGTATTGTGTCAGTTTCTAGCAGAATACTGGAAAATGATACCATGCTACGGATTTGTCACAGGATCTTGGTCAAGTATCCTATTGAGAATTGTCTCAATGTTTGCTCGAGTCCCTATCAAACTCCTGGAATATTATATAAAAATTTTCTTCAAAAGTCAGTTAATTGAAAACTTAGACGTATTTTATCCTCAAGTGCTAAAGAATGAATAAGGTACTAAAGTGTCTAAAACTTCCTGTGACATATTGATAGAAAGATCCCATTTCATATATTTTCGGATTCAGTAAACTCATTAGGAGCTGTATTCCATTTTTCACACTACTTCTGTTGTAGAATTACTTTTTTTTTGTTTTATTTTGAGAAATTCTATGTTATGTCAACTTACCCGTGGTGAAAGAAGTGTTTTTGTAATTACATGATTTTCACTTCTCAAATGCTAGTAAGCACATTAAAATAAGAATATTCCTCAATGGAGCAATTTTCCTATTGTAAGAGTAATTAGTTTTTACATTAATATTATTATAAATGTCGATTTCAATGTCCTATATTTCATTTTTTTTTCAAGCAAATATTTAAATGAAGTTTTCTCATACATGAGCTGACGATCTTATTTAAAATGTTGTATTAATTAATTACATCGATGATTCATATGATTTTCATTAGTAATAGTATTTTACAGTACAAATAAATAATTCTAGAACATAATGACATGTATGGAAAAAAAATCGGCTTTCTTTTCTTCTAAGATATATTATACCGTTATAAAAATATCTGTGCGTTATTTGATCGAAACACTATTAATGTAACTGATCCTCATTTTAAAAAAATAACAAGGCGGAAGGGGTTTTTTCAATAATTTTTCATAGAAATAAAACAGAAAACTGCAGTTTTCACTTTTAGAAAGAGAAAATAAAGACGCATCGAATTGTGTATTACAAGTTTTTTCGATCTGGTCTTTGTAAAATTTTCGATTAACTTTTTAGAAAATCAATCCATCCTATAAGGTGACAAATGTGAATTTTCAAATACAAGCCTAAGATTTTAAGAACTAGTTATTCAAGAGTCATAGATAATCAGTTAAAATTCTTGACTGATGCTTCAACCAATTGCTGTGAGAAAATCACACTTTTTTTTCTAATTTTAAAAGGAACCATTTTTCTGTCACCCTGTTTATGAATTTATTTAGAAAAAAAACTTCAGAAATCGTCTTAGGAGAATCTAAAAATATGTGATTCAATGCAACGTCATCTCCTCTTTCTCATAGTGAAAAATCCACCTTTTTTTTTCATGGACAATTATTAGTTATTCAAAAATCTTGAAAATCAAAGAAGTATTTTTCTATTGCAAAGAATATGTCGATTTTAGAGGTGAGACATAAGCGGTACAAGTCTTTATTATAAAATTATTCATTAATTTCAATTTTCTTATCACGCAATGAATAATGGCAAGTTTTAAATGTCTTTATTTGTTTAAAGTGATAATCACATTGAATTACTGATTAGCATAGATAAATACATCAAGTTTTTGTTTAAGTAGGACAATATCGAGTCATTTCAGCAACAGTACATGAACTTAGGCAGCAAGCGTCAGAAAGTAATTTTTCTTGTGCAAATCGTCGAATTCGAGATGAAAGTTGATTTTTTCTTTTGTGTTGGTCTATAGCATCACAAACAATGTTGATTATATGCCACAGATGAGGACCACATGTTTGATAAGCTCGTTGTAATTGACAGTCTTCAACTTTGTATAATTTTCGATTGATTGAAATTTCAGTACCTTCTTTTAATAAGCGTCTACCATATTTAACAGTACAATTTTCATTTGGCATTGATACAATATTTTCATTGGCATCAATTGGATAAAATACGAAGAGTGTAAATAATAAAAATGCAGGAAAGAATGTAGTGATGATCATCGATAGAGCTGACATGGTGTATGTTGTATTACTATAAAAGATAGAATTGGTATGTTGTTGAACAAAAACAAGCGATGTAGATAGTCAAGAACAACTAAATTTTTTCTCTTGAATACTGATGGAGCACTTACGTATTTATATAATAGTGATACTGTCGATAACTTTGCACAATAATATACTACGTTCACCCATTAGACCGGAAACTCACGATTAGAAAATGAATTGCTGTCAGAAAGCGATGATTTTCTGGTTGACAACATTTTAATAACTTAAAAGTATAGTGAAGACTGAAAAATATTTAAATTTTTTTCGTAACGGTTCCTTGTATTTTTGTCTTTTACAGGCATTCTATTTATTTACAATAACAGATAGAATTTATTCCGATATCCAAATTTAAAAAAGATATTTTTTATTATGTAAGTCATTAGCTATTGTTTTTTCCTAATAATTATCTTTTAGATGTTTATCAAAAAATTGTCAAAAAACCTTCTTTTTCATATGAATCACCCAGATTTAGTTATGTTTATTCCATTTACAAAATGTGACTTTTATTATTTCAAACGAAAGAAAAAAAAGAAAATCTAAATAATTACATGAATGTGATTATTTTGATGATGTGTACGCGTTATATGACATTGACATACATGGCATGCCTATTTAGTACATAGATTTAAAATAACGTGCAACTCTATTATTATCTGGCAAGTGCTTTTGTCTTTTTGAAATAAAATTAGTTGACAAATGTTATGGGTTCGACAAAAATAAAACAATGTCGAAAAAGTGAATAGTTCTATTTTGATTATTTTCAGCAATAGAACGGTTAAAAATTTAGCGAAACTCTATAACAAAAATAAAATTAGGAAATTCTTTAGTAGGTATTTCTTATTAAATACAAAAATTTTAGTAATACTTAGTCATTGAATAATCGTTGGCAACAATAATTGCCTGTAGCCATCTACATAGAAACTTATGTCATTTCAAGCGGAAAAACAACAATAATATTTGAACTAGAATGAGTTATAGAAGATATTTGCTTAATTTATTCGTAATTAACTAGGTCAAATGGCCTGAATTCGTACAAAACTGATTCGATTCCGAAGGAGTCTTACTACCAATCAACAAAAAGATAACACAATTTGCAGCAAATATTTACTTGGAAAAGAAGTGCAGGATATACAGTAGCTGATAATAATTCTTTTTTAATTTTATGATCTTTTTTCTTTAATAAAAAGTAGCTTTAGGTGGAAGAAAAATTTAAAATTTTCTCAGATTCCGGGATGCGCATTCCATTGACGTCATCACAATTCGGAATCGAATGAATGCAAAAGAAAAAACAAAAAGACGCGTTTTGTCATGCAATACTTACACAAACAGCGTTATTATAATGTTTTTTCTTATTTTCTTCCAATAAAAACAATGGGTTCAAGTGACTACTTTCCGTACAAGTACAAACATGGACAAGCAATCAGAAGGCAATTGCCAAAACTAAAAAAAAATGATAACTGGAATACACAAGGTTGAAAACATGTCTTTCTTTAATTATAATAAGATATTCAAATTTATTACCACACCTCAATATAAAACGTTGACCCGTCTATGGATACAAGTCGTCTGTTTGATTCCTCCCAACTTGTTTTTTTTATATTACTGTTTCGATTTCTCAAAAAAATTCAATATGTCTTACATCAACATCCACATTCTCTCGTTTGATTAATGACGCTCTGCTCCTCCTACGAAGAGTGTTGGATTGTCAATGTTTTTTTCTTTCATTATATCAATATTCTCTACAATAAAAATAAAATCTATAAAGAACTCTTTGAAAATATCATTAAAAAGTGAGATGTTACTTATTTAGACAACAGCACATTTTAACACATTAAAAGGTGCGATTTTCACACTGAAAAAGACGACTTTTATTTTTGTAAAAAAACAGATTGGGGACTATTATCACTTTCAGAGTTGCTTTCTTTTTCAAAAGAAAAAAGAATTGTTTTTGAAAGCACAAAAGGTGTACATATTAACACGCTAAAAAAAGCGTTTTTTTTTCAGATTCGATTTTGTCTGACTAGGTAGAACGTTTATGTTTACATGTTCACTTGCGTATCATTTTTCTTTGCAAAAATTAAACTTATCTAAACTTGTTCACGATTCAATTGAATTTTGCCTTGTCTTCAACTTTGATTTTCGTTTTCTTTCATGAAATTAAATGAAGCATATACATTCTTTATCTCGCTTTTCTTAATTCTTTATTTGCTTTGTACTTTTCAAACTGTAATAAAAGCTAGAAGTGTGAATTGCAATATAAATATACAGTTGTGTCCCTTAATGATCGAACAAGAACGTATTGAGCCTTGTTTCTCATTCAGTCTCTGTGTGTGGCATAAAAGTCAATTTCTACAATAGAGTTTATGACAAATTTTCGTCTCGTAATGATGGACTTACATACTATATCGAATGATAACCTCCCACTGTCACTTCCAAAGTTGAAAGATTCGAATTAGTTCAAGATCTGTATTCAACAGATAAAGATCAAACCGGCTAGAAGGGTATCTAAGAGCCAGTCCGTGTAAACCACGACCGAAGTTGCTCAATCGATATTGTGATATTTTGCTTAATTTAAGATATGTTGTAGAGGGAAGAGTTTTGTGAATTTTGACGCAAGCCGATTCAAAAAATATTGATCCTTCGGTTCTTTATGAGCATTTTACGAAAAGACCTAAAAATGACCTTATATATATAAAGGGGGGTCCTAATACAACGATATCTCACGAATGGCTCAACCAAATGAGCTCAAATTTTCTATTACCATATACCTCAGTGAATTCTATTTACCATAAAGCTTTCGTATTAAAATATTGAGCGATTGGGATTTTATGAAGCACTCAATATATGAAAAAAGGTCCATTTTCGGTAACTTTGGCGCTTCATAACTTTTGATAAGAATGACATAGAGGTCTGAAATTTTCACTGTTAATAGAACACTGAGAGATGTATCTCTCCTGAAAATATCAGTCATTCATACCGTTCCATTTGCTCAAAACAGCCCCGTGAAAAACGAAATTTTGATAAATGTGGGCACTTTTAGGATAGGCTTTCTCCCAAGAAATGGATTGTCTGGGGCACTGGTTGTTAAAATTTTGAAGTACTCTCTTTGGGCTACAATCCTGTAAAAATATTAGCGTGGGATCTCCAAGAATGGCCCCAGGGCACTCATGGCAAAATACAAAAAAATGAGCCTTTTTTAAAGGAAATCTACCTGAGTACAGTTCAAAATTCCTCCAAGGATTCTACTGTGTGATGTAAATTTCATGTGGTAAAAATCAGCATTTAATTCTCTATTAGCCTGTATCAAAATATTCCTTCAAAATGAAAAGAAAATTTTTACAAAAATTCCTGTACCCCCTCCAGACTTCTTCCTGTAACATCTTATTCTCATAGTCCCTGTACCCCCCCCCAGGGGGATTTTTCGTAAGAATTCTTTTTTTTCATTTTCAAGGAATATTTTGATACAGGCTAATAGAGAATTAAATGCTGATTTTTACCACATGAAATTTACATCACACAGTAGAATCCTTGGAGGAATTTTGAACTGTACTCAGGTAGATTTCCTTTAAAAAAGGCTCATTTTTTTGTATTTTGCCATGAGTGCCCTGGGGCCATTCTTGGAGATCCCACGCTAATANAAAAAAGCTCTCCGCCACAGCTCACTAGATTATTCTTTGCTCCACCATCGTGCGGCTTTGTACCGCACCGCCTGCCCACAACATATTTTTAGGGACCATGATTTTGTAGTCACCCCTCGTAAATACTTTTTTATTTCATGATATGACATTAAATAATTCCAGTGCACATAAATAAGGAGCATGGGCCTGGATGCGAATGCGGAAGGGGTGTCAAAGGATTGAGAAACAGTAATTCCTCATCAGTTTCCCTGTAGTACAGTGAATACGAAAGCTAAAAATGTACGATATTCACGATACTTATTGCTCTGATACTCATTTTTACCTGGAAAATTGTGAAAGAAATAATTATGTCCACAGATTGTTTAAAAAAAGCATTACCATGACTTTCATGAATCGTGTGACTGTGAGGCAAGCAATGGTCGATGTCAATTTCCCTGAGGAATTACCACAGCAACGCTGACTATTCCTCGATAGATTAAGAATTCCTATTTTTCAGCCCTTGGATGCTGTTGTCACCCGCGAAAAAAAGTGAGCAATTCTCCAAATTTTGAGATATACGGCAGTACTCTCTGAAAAAAAAATTAGCAGTTTCAATGCACGAGGAAATTGCGAAATCTGGCGGTGCATCGCCACCACCCCACCCGCTCATCTCTGATATGCACTGCAAAATTCTCGTTAGTAATACAGTTTCTGCAATGAAAGTACTGATCGATGCAATTTCGCTGGCCTTCAAATTATATGTACAGGATGTTACAAAACCATTACGTGCTCCTGTACAACTTAAAGTATAAATGACATCATAAAGTATTTTATACGAAATTAATGCTTATCAAAAACTGAATTTATGAGTGCAATTAGAGCAATTATTGACTATGAAACTATTGAAACTGCGTAAATTACAGGTCAAAAGGAACTTGTACTTTAAGATTTTCATTCTTCGTGTAGATATTTAAAAAAAAATTATAGCCGATTTGTGATCTCCATCAAAAAGTAAATCTGTAAACATATCATTTATATATTTTTTTACGAAAAAAACTTGGAAAAAATCATGGGAAATACTCCAGACAAAAAGTTTTTTTGAACTGAAATATCTCGATTTATATATCAGTGGACGCAGTTTTTGACGGAGATCAAGAATTTGAAGGCATTTCTGTTGATAAATGTAATAGAAAAGCAAAAATTGAAATATACGAGCTCATTTTGGCAAAAAACTATCCATGATTTTATAGTATTAGGTCTATAAAAGAACTACCATGGGATAGCTTTCAGGATTTTTTCAAAAAGTTTTTTTTCGTCAAAAATATAAAAATTATATGTCTACAGATTTACTTTTTGATAGAGATCACAAATCTGCTATCATTTTTTTGAAAATATCTACATGAAATATGAAAATCGTAAAGTACGAGTTTCTTTTGACATGCAATTCAAACAATTTCAATAATTTCATAATCAACAATCGCTCTAATTACACTGATAAATTCAGTTTTTGATACGCATTAATTTCGTATAAAATACTTTATGATATCATTTATACTTTAAGTTGTAAAGTGGACCATAATGATTTCATAACAGCCTGTACAGTAGGATCTTAAAATGATGATTTTTGACTGCGATCCAATATTAAAATTGTCTAGTCTTATGAAAACCAATGAAGTTTTTCTATATCATAGTCTCAGTTTCTTCGGATAGGAGAAATTTTATGGTATTCATTTTTCATTGTTATTGTAAAATGTTCAATTCTTATTGCTGCTATAAAGAGTCATAAATGCTGCTCACTAAGCCTGATCGTTCTTGGCATATTGGAAACTGTAATGGCTACAGACTTGAAGTAAGAGGAAACGATTTCATAGCCTATATGATCATTACAGTTTAACAGATCCCTTTTTTTCAAACAGCAACTTAAGTCTATTGTTGACAAAGTCATAGTGACAAGTGCATATTTAAAAGTTTCTTCTATCGAGGCAAATTAAAATAACTGCAAAAGATGATTTAGATTAGTCTTCTTTTAAGATTAGAAAAGTGTGGTGTGCGATAAAAGTCAAAAGTCTTCGTTTCAATATCCAATTATAAATGTAATTACTAGATAGAAATAAGAACTTAAATATTTCTCATATCAGTCGAAGTAAAATAACATCTTCAATAAGACGCAAATAAAATACTAAAACACTTTTACATTAGGATTTAAGAGTTCTGTGCCTATCGTTTTTTTTTTCTATCTGTATCATGTATATCTGAAGAAACTGTTTATCAAAAGTAGTTGATAAACAACACAAGCATAAACATGGTATGTTTTAAAATATTCCTCATGCACATCAAAGAAATTATTTGGGAAAACCTAATGAATATTTATTGTATATGTGAAATGTTCGAAAATTAGCATTAATTCGTCACTTAATTAGATTGGAATAAAACTTTGTCATGTAGAAAAAACCTACTTTTGTATCTACAAGCTCTAACTGCATTTGATCAAAAATAATTAGTGATTTCTAATAAGTGTGTAGTTCGCGAACAATGTTTTAAACTTTTCATTGACACTGCGACGTTTTCTATTTTCCTACAGCGTAAAGTTAGAGCTGAGTCTTCTTTGAAAAACTCGTCATGATAAGTAATGAGATCTTTTCGCAAATTGAGAATTATTAATTGAATGAAAAGATAGTACAACAAATAAATTATACATAAAAATAATATTAAGACTAGGATATTTCTTATGTAAAGTATCATACAGAAATATGACAATTTATTTCAACTTATATTCAATAATTATGAAAAGTAAAAAATTTACATTTATAATAAATATAAATTTCTCATAATTTAATTTACGCGGAAATTAAAATAAAAGTAAATGTAAATTGACACCCCTACTCAGCATGATTATTAAAGATACTAATGAAAAACCGATTCTGTTATCGTTTTGGAAATGTCATCGACAGAAATTTTCATGAGGGCGTGAATGTAGTGTATTCTTTCTTCATAGACACTCACATCCTATGTCGAATAAAAAAAGACTATATTACTAAATAATATCTCTTTTGAGAATGAAGCATATGAATAAGCTTTTATTCTTATTAACATGAAATGACATCTTATATATAAAAGAATATTCAGTCTTTTTCTCCACAGGCGTATATAATAACTTTATCCATAGGCACACCACGAAGTTGAGAATTATTAAGACCATCATGAATAGATATTTCAGCATGATAAGTACCATCACGAGCTTGTGTTTCATTGTCATCAGTACCAACATCCCCAACTTGAGAATCAATAAAAGTGTCATCAACACTACCAGGTTGAACATCACCAATTAAAGTATCATTTTGAATAGCACCGGTAGCAGTAAGTTGTTCACCAAGATTAACAACACTACCACGAGAAACATAACGAATACCTTAAATTAAAAAGAATTGTAGTTACATTAACCAAGACCGTTAAAAGACCTACCTTTTTGATTAATTGCATTTAATAGATGCATACCGCTTGTCACCTCGCCAAATACAACCTAATTAACATAAATAGATTTAATAAATATTTTTAAATATAATATTTACATGAGTATTATTTAAACATGGCATAGGACCTAGAAGAGGAAAAATACGTCTAGTTATTATACAACAATAGAAAGAATAATTTACTTACCTAGTGTAATTATGAATTTGGTCGAACGATCATGTAATGACATGCTTAAAAGACCAGCTTTATTATGAGGAAGTCGTTAATCTTTTTGTTTTTGTACTTGATCAAAAAATCTAAAAAAAATTGAAAAGTATTAAAATAATAATAAAAACGACTATTCTTACCTGTTACCATCTCGAGTGAAAATTTCTGTTTCTCCTCCTAGAACAATAACAAATATGTTCAATAATATTTTGATTCAAGAAAACTTTTTACCTTCAATAAATCCATCAATGTATAAATAGTTGAAGAAGGTGTTTTCGAAACCGAAACCCCTCTGCCCAATACATATTGATCTGAAATAGTCTAAAAAAAAAGAATATTATATTAAGATATTAAAAATTTGCTACCTACTCGATGTGATTGGTGCTTTGTCATAGTATAACTATAATAAAAAATAGACTGTGAGAATGATTAAATAAAAGCTCTACATACTTTTATCAAAATATCATCGGAGAATTTTCCATTAATCTCCAAACTCAAGAAACAAGTCTTACGGCCAATTTCTTAAAAAAATCAAATGTGGAAATAATTAAACATTTTAAATATTTACCCATATAATAATTATGAATCTGTTTTTGTTTTCTTCAAGTTCTTTTATTTTTTGTTCTTTTTCTTTTATTTGTTGTTCGTTTTCTTTTAAAATTTTTTCAACTTCTTCCTTTGTTTCTTTTAAAATTTTTTCTATTTCTTGTTCTTGATCGACGATATTTTCTATTTCATTATTTTCAATTGCTAATTCTTCTTCAGTCATGATTATTGGTGGTGGTGCTGGTGCTGGAGGAGGTGAAATTGATGATGATAATGATGGTAAACTGCCCTACAAAATGGCATAAAAATATATATTTTCTTTGGCAATAAAAATATTTTTTTACTTCATCATTTATCAATTGTAATTCAGTTTCATTTATATTTGTTTGTGGTGGTGGTCAGAGATGGAACAGGTAAGAATAGTCGTTTTTATTATTATTTTAATACTTTTCAATTTTTTTTAGATTTTTTGATCAAGTACAAAAACAAAAANCCATTTATTCCCTTTGTATACGCTGAGCATATAATATAATTAGTAAATGAAGAAGAACAGAGTTATATTAAGAGTAGAAGAAAGTGTATATGCTGTGTTCGATTAGCGAAGTAGAGGGAGGATGAAGCATTAAGAAGATAAAATAGAACCCAAGAGAAATAATGATTGGTGAAGAGTGTGTAATTACCAATTTATTCAGTCTTATATGTTAATGCTTGATTTTCTTGTTTTCAAGTTTTTCCGTATAGAATATTTAAAATTTGCAATACAATGTAGACGACTTTACACATTTGATTGAAACAAAAATTCAAATTCATGATACTTTTCCCTGTAAGTTCTTGTTAAATGTTTTAGAAAAGAGTGATACAATTAATCCAAAGTCCTCCATTCACTATTAGAATGTCTAAATGTGAAATACATATTGATAATGTCTGCATGAAGTCAACCATTATATTTACTCATTTTGATTCATTCTATTTTAGAAGAAGAGATCTTATTCTTTCCAATAGTTCTGCAATTCTAAAATATTATAAGATCGTGCGCATAATTACTCGTACAATGATGTCAATATCTGTAACTCCGGAGTTATATTAATTATATTGGCAGGACCACACAAAGAAGGTATATTTGAAGCTAAAAGTGATACTATAACTGCGTGTCTCAAAGTTGTGACTTGCAGTTTTGAATAAGGGGAACCATAAACAATATTCTAACTTCATCTATCATAACAAATCGCGCATTAAAAGTGCATGGAAAGAATAGCTTGAATTCATAAACATAGCGCCTATTAGCTCTTGAAAAAATGGCCAGAGTGATATATCGATCGAGTTTGAAAATGTCACTGATCGAACTGTGAAAGAAAGAAGGTATGATTATGTAAGCGATTTACTAGTTAAGTTTCACGTGACATATTCTAGTTATGTTTGATTGCTTTTCTTCCAATACAATAAGAGGTATTATTAATGCTCTTTCGTCCCGATTCCATCAGCATTTATCTCAAAAGAAAAGATTTCTAGACTTTTGATGATAATAATCTCTTTTGCTTTACAAAGATCCGTCATTTTCTGCATCTCCATATAATATAGCAAAGGGGTCACGATTAGTATGTACTTGTTCTAAAAGAAAAGGGATCTTGAAAATGTAAATGACAAATACCCTTAATATAATGAAGATTCACAGAGTAAATTGCTAAAGAAAATAGCACTATTTCATAGACTTAATAACAAGATCCTTATAACTATGAACGTATCTAAAGTATTTTTCCAGCAAGCTAAGTCCATGAATTAAGCTAGTTTCTCTAGTAGTTAATTCAGCTCAGAAATCAAACGCCCAGTAACACTTGAAACTGTATGATAAAAGCTATTCTAACTACGAGAATCTGATCTAACCACTGAATGGTGTGTAAAAGTAAATATATAGAAAAATAATGTTTCATGATTGTCAGACTCATTTTGACTGTTTTTGCATTTTTTGAATATTCCAAGTTGAAAAAAAACATTGAACATTCATATTAGAGACTGCATTTAAACAAGCATTCAAATTTAATTCACTGAGCTAATGTTATCATTAAAAAAGTGCATTATTGGAGAACATTTGTTAAGTATTAAAATAATTTTAGCACATTTATTTGATGGATTGAACCCTACACTAGGTTCCAATGCCAGTTTTTATATACTTATGATAAAAAATACATCATGTAAGAGATTGAAAAAACGATTTGATGAAATTATTCCAAGATGATTCTCAATACAATACTTTCTTATTCATAATGATAGTGCAGAGCAATACATTTTGGATAATATTATAGATATTATTCTTTCAATATATATTCTCATCTCTATCCAACTTTAGATACTGAAAACATAGAAAATTGAAACAGATTTGAAATTGATGAAACATCACATCTATAATCAAAATTTATTAATCATATTTAATTAATGCTGTTCGCTTCGTTGTTATCTATGCTGACGTAAACAGAAAAACTAAAAAAGCAATCCTATGTGATTCTACACAGCCAAAAGAAAGGCATATACTAAAATTAGTGATAATGATCGATTACTTCAAATATAAATAGGTTATCTAATCAGAGTCAATGGTTCCAATGAAAGTACTAAAATTTAAAAACTGACCTGTATTCAGCCGCTTGCATGAGAGTACTGATCTATCAGTTATATTATTTCTTAATAGATTATACGAAGTAAAAAAGCAAGTGTTCCAAAAAATATGCCAAATTGAGCACTGGATGCAAACGAAAAAAGATATCAAAAAAGAATATGTATTTTAATATGAAGAAAAAAGAAAAATGACATTATCATGTAACGAATATATGAGTGCTTGGACGAATCGCGGAAACGAACGAAATAGTTAACTGAAAACATACGGATGAATAAAAAAATTAATAAGAACTGAGGTACAAAAATGAACAATATATTTTACCGTGTGTAAAAATGGTGGATCGTTTTAAATCACTTTTTTCAGACTTGAAATATTTTATCAGAATGACGAAGCGATAATAATCAAAATTATTCAGAGCCAGAGTATTCGATGCACTATGTGATTCTGCAGACTATCAAGACTCATGACAATTTAAAACATACTGTCGACAGATGTCAGACGAAAGCATCTCACAAAAGCGTGACTTTTCATTTCAATATCTTCATTATGAATTTATATTTTTCTTCGCTTGTCTAACTGGAAAATGTTATTTTAAATATGTGATAAACACTCTTTTGATTCAGCTAAAAAAAGTTACTATGCATGCGATTCGTCGATAATATCATCTAATTAGTCTCAATGGTTACATTTCTATCAAGTATTTCATCTATGCACTTCAGGATGCAACTCATTTTGAAATGCTCATATTTTTCAGAAAACTTCCTCTATGGCGGCTGGTAGTTTTTTGAGTATCAGATCTTTCTGACGAATCCAAATGACGGAGTTTATCTGGCGTTATCTCGTGAATGGCATAAATTATTGTAAAGGCGACGGTGTTGATTATCCACTTGTAATAATGAGCGATGGGAATAATAGGTGATAAAAAGAGAAAGTCTCGTCCATGTCATTTATACCATAGAGTCAGCGCTATTCTTTCTATTCTCGGCATTGAAATATTCTTCTAGGTTTATATTAAACTATCAATCAATCATATTAAATTGAACCGTATATTATAAAAAGTCACATAAGAGGAGAAAATAACTGATATGTAAGATGACAGAAGCTATTTCGAAAAGTGCCTACCTCACTATTAAATCTATCGAAAGCGACAACAAGCTTCAAATAGGATATCGGCTACGTTTTCAATCCGATCTTGCCAATAGATCATTAATAAATGATGAACTTCACAAAACATAGTACGTTGGACTTGTAAATTAACTTCTATTAAAACAAAAACTAGAGTTATTAAGAAAAGTCAACAAATGATCTAGGTGAATTACCACAATCACAGTCCATGTCTGACATCGACGGCGTTTGCTTCCACAACAATGACTCAGAGAGAACAAGGGTAAAACTATTTTTTCGGTAAATCAGAAGAACATTCTTCCAATCGTTATTTAGCATTCTTATACAAATCACATATCATCCGAAGACTCAAGGGATCCCTTCACAATAGTTTTTCCATTTAGAATAGTGCATTTGAGCTGAAATTTTCAGGAATAAATAGCCCTAGTGGAATACGTTTCTGGTAATAATTTCAACCCGATATGTCAAACTAGAATGAACTTATGGCTTATTTATAGGCCATTTATGGCCTTGAGAAGAATCATTATAACTTCGTCACTACAACAGATACAGAGCTTGGGGTGACTTCAAATAAAAGCCAATATTCTTGCGCATTTTTTGTCCTAACAAAATCTTGCAGTTTGTTCTCATTCACTTTTATGATTATTCTGGTACATTCAGTGTTAAAATAAGCAAAAGAAAAGTCACTTCACGACACTAAAGCTCTCTTTTCTCAATAGGGAAATCAATTATAAAAATCTGGTCGAACAAAGTTTACTCTGATTTAGACCTTTAAAGCAAAAATAGTTAGTTATACGTTGAGTCAGTTGACAGTTATTGCAATTTTTCTGAATAAAAACCATGTTCTGAGAAAAATGGTAAATAAGTTCAAACATGGATTTTTTTCATTCAAATCCAGAAAAAAACATAGTTAACTGGCATATACATGATATGTTCAAATGGAATTTTTAAAAGCACATAATTGATGACATAAGCTAGTACTACTTGTCGTGCTTAAATTATATAAGGATATTTATTCAATGCTGATGCTAACAGAAACGTAGTCTTGCCAAAACTAAAAATACTTAAGAAAAACTATGAAAAATTCTTGGAAAATACTGTAGTAATGTTGAAATTTCTTTCAAAACTCTGCTAAAATTTAATCTCTTTTCGAAAAGGCATACATATTCTGAGGGAGGAAACTTTGTTGCAACTTTCTTTCATAAAAACTCATTTTCGACTTTTTTTTTTTTCGAAAAAAAATGAATTTTCTCAGCTCGGAAGGCTGTAAATGAAAATCAAATCACGTACGCAAATCCACCACTGAATCCATATATCGATATGCAGTTCAACAATTAATAGTTCATCAATAACAATCATTCGAAATGAAAGCTAATCTATTCTTTTTGCTACATATGTGTGATCATTTTTCCGTTTCCAATCTATGTTGGTAATTCAGTAGTTATCTATTTTAATACCGTTAAAATACGTTCTCTTTATAGCCATGTTATTTTAAAGGCCATCCATCAAGGACATCTAGGTTAAAGCCCGATCTTTTAACCCTCCGTCTCCTCTCATGGACGCCCGGTATAGGAGAAAAACTTTCAGAAAAAATGAGCATGTTAAAATATACTACTTGTTTGGTACTAAATAAAAGTGCATTAAACAAATATATCAAAAGTAGAAATAAATATATATGTAAATTAACAGAAAAACTAAAGCACACATTTCATAAACAACAAAATATAACTTATTGCAAAATTTTTGTTTTTTAAATATATTGCATTTTAATAAGCGGAAATTAAAAAAAAACAAAAAATGAAGTTCTATATTCATGGTACTCAAAATTATAACAATACCAATATTACTGCTCCTCAAAATAACTATTTGATCTTGCACCATAATCTTCAGTTATTTCAACATTATATTCATATTTAATTGATTCACTCAGTTCATTTTCTGTTTAAAAATGTTCTTCAGAATAAGCTAAGCTTGAAACTTTCGCGGAAAACTGTGTGAAAAAAGGAAGATATTCACAACTAGTGTTCAGATATCCAGAAGTGTTTGATTCCCTTCTGTCTGTCCAGATTTTTTCAGTTTTAATAGGTCTCACACAGCCCCCTCTTTACCTGGGCATCCTTAATGAGTGACTACTGCTAACAAGAATGTAGAATACAAAGAAGTAAGTAACTTAAAATACTTGCACAATAAACCAAGCAAAAGTAATAACAATAATAATAATGATGCCAGTATACAGCTCATACAAAGAATGATATTCAAATGAACTAGAACTTCTCCATGGACTAGCTGTCTATTTCGAGTTTCATAATAAGTCGAAAACTCGAAAAATTTTACACACGGACATACCCAAAGCCAAAGCCAATTTTATCTAGATTATAAGTTATAATTTACAAAAGGCGAAAGTTCTGTGTACACAGAGACGTGCTTGGGTCGCGGCTCTTCGAGAGCGCTTTGCACTCCAATGCTCGGTTTTCACGTATGAGTATATTGAAGAGTGCACCGGTTGAGCTGAAGCTTGAACAAAAGACAGCGGTGTCCTGCACCAACTCATGCGTTACTCATATTGTACTTGAAATCCAAATCTAATTTTATCTTTGACCTTTTTGGCTTTAATAACAGAATAGCCTTATGCCAATTATAATTTATAAGTGAGATAAAATTTCTATTTGACTTGGAACAAACTGTACTGTTGGTTCCAGCTGTTTGTATTTATTTTCGAAGTAACATGTAGCAACCAGAGGTTCATTCATATAAGAACTCAAAATTAGACAACTTATGTCTCCACGAAAAAATAGCATATGCTACTTACAGCGACGCCATCATCAGTTTCATTGTTATGACAAGCTGTTTGATATACTCATTTGAAAGTACTCCCATAATCGTATTGTAACGATATCTTGCGCGTGAAACTCATTCTAGACAAAAATAAAGTATACAGTTCAGTAGAGCACATGATTTATACTATTGTTATCATATAGTTTCGAATGCCATCGTCTGAACGAGATGTCGCTACTGATACTGCATAATGTAGTTGGAATTTTCCATCATACTCTTTTTCGTCAGGCCTAAAATTAACAAAGGTAATGACGCATTAATCACTTCCTTTCGGTAAAACGAACTTTTTTCTTTAGAAAGTGCTTTACAAAAAGTAATTCATTTTTCATTGTATTTTTGTTCAGCTTGTTTTGCTTTTCTAACAATATAAAACGATAATATATAATACTCTAGCTTTAATCTTTATCACTTTTTAATCATGTAGTCTTGAAGCGTGTTTCGGTAAACAAAAACGTAAGTTTCTCTATCAATGGAAATTTCCATCGTAGTATTGTACTCCATCAGTAACAACAGCTAGCAACTTATGGGAAATTATCAAAATTTTCAGAAGTTGCACCAACTAATCTTGACAGCAGGAGTACAGATAATTCCATACAAGGAAAGTTTCTTCATCATCAACATAAAATTTCATAGTAAATTCTGCAATTACCTTCCATATATTATATAAGCTAATATAAATTCATATGATGCAAACAACACCCTGCGACATCAATGAGTAAAAAGTTTAGAAATTACTAAGAAATTTCGGTAAACTTCAAAATATCTTTAAATATATTAAAGAAGATTTTGCAAATTACCAAAATTTCGTAAAAACTGATGTTTTTTGAACGGTTCATTTCGATAGCTTGCATGGTAGTTATGGTAATTTCGAAACTTTTCAATTGTTATAGTATTTCTGTGGAAATAATTATCAACATTGAATAATTTATGAAGAAAATTCACTTTTTTGAAAATCTCAATACTGCTACATAAAAAAACACAAATCTATAGAAATTTTACATGTTTTAACGTGTTCAGAAATTTCTAACTCTTTTTAATAGGTTAAAGAAATCGTCAAAACGACAAACTAACGGCTTCTTATCGTTAAAACGCCGTTTTAACAAAGTGTTAACACGTTTCTTTGAGAGATTTCTCCGACCGACTCTCGATAGCAAAGAACCTACTATTCCAACCTTCGATGGATTCTATAGAGAATGATCAAGTTCGAGTGAGATTAACCAACCTTGGGAGCATTTTTTTATGCTTCATAATCACTCACTTCGCAATATAAAGTGTGCATGTCATTTCCCACTTCTTGTAAAGTGATTGACAGAGCAATCAAGAGCTACTGGAATATAAAAAGCAAAGGGGAGTGGGTTGTACTTCCCTCAGGTACTGATTATTTTTTGTCAGTGTTATAGAAATAATGGAACTGCATAAAACCGGAAATTTTCTCAGACGCCCCATCGATTTTGATACAGTTATCGCTTTCACAATTTATATGCCATTTCAAACGCTCGAGCAGCATGAAATTTCGAAAAGTGTCCCAATGAGATGTGTTCCTGTGGCTTTTCAATGGTTTGATAGAGAAACAAGACTTGTATACACTCTGAAATTTTTGCAATAATTCAACAAGTATTCATGGGAAAATTATTGATTTTTCTGTAAAGTAAGTTTTTCACTATGCAAAAGTATTTTTTTTAAACTTTTCTGTGACCTCAGAACTAGAGTATATTACAACAGAAATCAGTTGTGACAATAAAGGTGTGCTATCGGGTTCTGCGTATGCTGAACAGAATAGAACTTCAATTTCGTACATATTCTAAGAATTACAAACTCTGAGAATGAACTCTTTTTCTTCGCTCCAGATGAAAAATATCATTCAATACTCTATGTTGTTCGATACAGAATTTAATAAACAACAATCCATCTAAACATATATACGAAAAATCGGATTAAAATCGATTGAAAATAGCCATAATCGATTACAATCAAAGAAGCTTATTCTGATATATTTCATGGATCAAAATCGATTAAGTTTGGTTCCAATTGATTCTTACTCGATTAATAATCGATTAAACATGTATGCTTACAATCGATAAAAATTCACTGTCATTATTATTAATCAACCTACGCTGTTTCTATACTGTAATGACTACATCCTACGAAATATTTACTAATACCTATAACAGTATATCTAAAACCTTTAAACCTATACATTTAGACTTATATCACTGCACTTATATCCTCAACCAATACATTCACACCCAATTTCACTCGATGCAGCGTCGAAAGCTGCATTCAATGATATAGGTTCACTTATAGCATTAGATGCATTTCTTGACCCTCTATCGAAGAAGTATACTTTCAAGCTTCCTTAGAAATACAACTAGTGCGAAAATCTAAATTTATTGAATAATCGATTGCTTTCTTTCATATAAAAAATGCTAGTTCTTTTAACATTTTTTAAGTACTGTTTTTGAAATTTTATCTCAAAAATTGGCTAAAAATTTTTAACATGCACAACTTTGTAGAGGTTATGCAGTTCTACCAAACTAGGAAAATATGGCGAAGGAAAAAATTTACTTCATTTTTGCATCGCTGACATCTTAGTTCATCAAAACACATCATAGTGGGAGCAAATATTTACCTTCCCAAGTTTACTATGTCATATTATTTTCTCATAAATTTATATGTAGTTTTGTTGCTTACTGAATTCTCTATCGAACAACATAGAATATTGAATGATACCTTTCACCTAGAGCGAAGAAAAATCTCAAAAACGACGTCTAGTAAAACAAGGTCCTCCAGGTTTTTAACTCTTAGAATATGTATTAAATTGAAGTTCTATTCTGCTCAGCATATGCAGAATTCGATGGCACGTTTTTTTGTCATAACTGATTTCTATTGTAATGTGCTGTAGTTCTGAGGTTTCAAGGAAGTTTAAAAAAAAATACTTTTGCAGAGTGAAAAACTTACTTTACAGAAAAATCAATAATTTCCCCGTGAATACTTGTTGAACTATTCTTACTTTACAAACTGAAAAACAAGAACCAGTACTTTAAGAGAAATGCATCCCATTCCCGCTCCTAAGCACAAGATAGAAACATCAGCTGGAAACTATATTCAATCATGATTCGGATGATGCTGGATATCAGTATAATAATAGTCGAGATATGTTGCTGGATAGAAGGAGCACTCAACCAATCATTCATCAAGATACGATGTTAAGACAGTGACTATGATAAATACAATTGTAAGTAGAAAACGAGCAATTTTCTAAGCTTTAATATCAGTTCATCACATGAAAAAATCGTTAGATCTCGTTGTTGTTACACTCTAGGCGACAAGACTTTTCTTAACAACATCGCAGTAAAAAAAAGACGTTTGCTTGCTATCAGTCACTGTCCTTTTATCTCTGCCACGGAATCACATTTAGTTCTTAAAGCTTGTCACTAGTATACTTTTTTTCTTCTACCAGAAACAATGACTAAATGTGAAAATCTACGAATTGGTGAAGAATTTCTCATTAGTCAGAACTGGCCTGTTGCATTGCACAACACATTGTTTGACCGGTGCTATTGTGCTCAGTGTTATCCACCAACCAACCCGGACACAAATTTGGTTGGTGGTTACACATATGTGATTCCACGGGAATGGACTCGCTTCGGTATATATGTTGATGAGCCATTTGCTACACACCACAATGTATGGAAAACATGGGCTAATTGCTATCATGGAACGAGTATTGAAAATGCAAAGTCAATAGTTGAGCATCGACAATTACTTTTACCTTGTGACACAACACTAGATGGTAAAACACTGCAAATACGAGCAGGCCATGCTCCCAGAGAATACTACTTTTTCACTACGCCAACAATAAAATATGCTGCCCTTGACTTGTATGCACATACATATAAATTTACATCTCCTACAAATAGAAAACGTTACAAGATCAAAGTGACGCTTCAGTGTAAGCAAAAACCTAATTCGTTCATAGTTCAAGCTGAAACAGTGGGTGCGCGCTGGCGACAACAGCAAATATGTTCTCATGTATCAAATAATGAAATAGAATGGAAGACAAAACAACGCTCGGCCATTATGCCATATGGACTAATGCTTCACATAACGAAGGATGCGAACTATGAGTATGATGAAAAATCAAATTCTCAGGAGATCAACTGCCCACACTGCTCACAACTAAACAAGTGCATAAATGCCAGTTACATACAAGGGAAAGTTATTACCTGTGCCTATAGCAGCTGCAAAAAGAAATTTCAACAGCTGAACTGTCCTCATTGTTCTGGACCAAATGTGTGGAAAAATGCTGATTACAAAGAAGGGAAAGTTACTACCTGTGCCTATAGCAGCTGCAAAAAGAAATTTCAACAGCTGAACTGTCCTCATTGTTCTGGACCAAATGTGTGGGAAAATGCTGATTACAAAGAAGGGAAAGTCATCACTTGCCCACATGAGCGTTGTAAGAAAACATTTCAGCAGCTCAACTGTCCTCATTGTTCTGAACCAAATGTGTGGAAAAATGCTGATTACAAAGAAGGGAAAGTCATCACTTGTCTACATGAGAGTTGTAAGAGAACATTTCAGCAGTTCAATTGTCCTCATTGTTCTGGTTCAAATGTGTGGGAAAATGCTGATTACAAAGAAGGGAAAGTTATCACTTGTCCACATGAGATTTGTAAGAAAACATTTCAGCAGCTGAACTGTCCTCATTGTTCTGGACCAAATGTGTGGAAAAATGCTGATTACAAAGAAGGGAAAGTTATTACCTGTGCCTATAGCAGCTGCAAAAAGAAATTTCAACAGCTGAACTGTCCTCATTGTTCTGGTTCAAATGTGTGGAAAAATGCTGATTACAAAGAAGGGATAGCTATTACTTGTTTATACGAAAGTTGTAAGAAAAAGTTTCAGCAGGTCAATTGTCCTCATTGTTTGGGTTCTAATGTATGGCCAAATGCGGATTACATAATGGGATCACCTGTTACGTGCTCATATGACAGTTGCCAGAAAACATTTCAACAGCTCTCTTGTTCTCATTGTTTTGGTTCTATTGTGTGGAAAGATACCGATTACCAACCAGGAGATATTGTTTCATGTCCTTATGATAGCTACAAGAGAACATTCCGAAAGAGAAGTTGGAAGAAAAATCGATGATTCCAGGTGAAGATCATTGAATTTTATGTGATTTAAAATAAAGTAAGATATGTTAGCCCTGAAATTATTTTTCATGAAGTAGTGTGAATCTATGACATCACAAAATAAATATAGGATTTTACTGTCGAAAATTGCGTAGAAATTAACTATAAATATTATTGTTCTAACTTTCTCATGTGATTATATGCCGTAAATATACATTTTCCCCTTTGAAAGTAATCTGAAGTAATGTAGATGCTAGTTTTTTGCGAGACATAGCTTTCATAAGAACTTACTGCTATTATGAGAAAGCTTTGAATAAGTTAATTCTATGTTGTTTGCTGATGTTAAGAGACACATTACTTTGTTTTTATAATTGTGTACTTTTTTAATTGGTTTTTAATGTAATAAAATCCAGAAAAATCTTTCTATCAGGAAAAACATTTTTGACATAAACTATTTCGATTGTAATGCACTGGAAATAAAAAAACTATCTGTGGCCTTCAATACGACATTTATTCGACTACGTTCACATCTTCAGCTAAGCTTTCTTCTTCTCTTACATGTCATATAAAATAGTATGAATGATTCCATTCACTATCTTTGAGTCATATGCAAAAAAAAGAAGATTATAGAAGGATTTTTGCAGTTAAGCTCAATTTGAAATCTTCGCTTGAAAATGAAATGTTACCAAAAAGTAGAAAAATTGAATATCAAGAATATTTCAAGTGTTCATTTGTTAAAAACGAACTATTGATCGATCAATTTTTTGGCGATTGTTGTTCAAGGCATCTCATAGATTAAGACAAATCGTTTGTTTAAAGACAAGTGCAAGTCAGTATTTGTTATAACTATGTCAACATTATGGCATTTGATTGTTTCTATTAGTAAAATTTCATTTTTTAACATCAATAGGAAAAATAAAACAAACATTCATAGAGAAACGGGTGTTACATAAATTTAAATTCTACTCAAAGTATATTGTTTTTTTTTCCACGTAATCTATTACACACACCATTAAGATATTAGAGACGAAATATTTTGTATTCCCAGTTTCTTATTCTACCTTATTGGGCAAAAGAAGAATAAACAAAAGAAAAACATCTACGTTTTTCTTCATCATGTGTTCGTATCGTTACACATTTCATTGTTATACCATCTTAGCTAACTACATCATTGGTACGACGCATCGATTCGACGGATCGAGCATAAAGATGTTTGTCAAATTTGAATTTCATTGGACGATACTCTTTGAGATTTTATTTTTGAAAGATACTTGACATCATAAATTGATTACAAGTACAATTATATTATGATATCAATATAACATATTCCTTATAAATAATATTAGAATCTTCATCAATTAAAAATGCATGCTTATCCTTGAAGTAAAGCAACGTAGTGAACATGTTTCATCTATGCGATGATCATATACACATCTCATGCGATCTTCATGAGAAATAAAAGAATCAGATGAAAAACGACACATACGTTCAACTTTATCAATCAGTTTTCTAGCACAATGATAATACTCTTTATGAATAAACCCAAAACATCCCACAGTCACTTGCAAACGCAATATCTTGTTATTTTAAAAATAAAAATTTTATGTTATGCAAAATATAATGTATATATAATAAGATGATAATTCATAAAACCTGAACAGATAAATTCGACATGCTAAATTGAATTTTTAATAATTTGGTTCGCAGAAATTCATTATTATTATTACTATCATATTGTGTTTTGCAAAAGATGACAGTGCAAATGTGAAAATTGCCCATATTGTATTTACACTTTTATTTGTTATTGACATTAAGAGCGTTATGATTTATGTTGCTCTTCTCGAAAAGCAGGAACTAACGCTTTTTTAATGTTATTTTGAAGATAGGAAAAAACATTCATCTGAACTTTGTAAGGCATATGAATAGATTTTTACTATTATTTGCATTCTAAAATCGAATAAGTAAAAATAGAACTGAAATTTTTCAATTGATATACATTGCTTGAGTTTAGATGGTTTTGATGGATTATATCATGGCATGATCAAAAATATTCAAAAGTTTTATTCATTTAAATTTGATTACTAAGAAATGACTGTAAAAATTTTTTTTTAATTAAAATATTTCCTTCATTGTTCGCGAAATCATTTTTATTATCGTTATAAATGAAATCAACGTTGCCAATATATGAAGATAAAAACTGACTTTTCGTAAATGACACTATACAAAAAGGTAACATTTCTTCATTCTTTCGCAAAAGATTATTCACATTACATATTCAATGCCGGTCGAGATCATAGATGTTAATGGCAAGATGTCAGATGAAAAAAACACATGGTGGAAAAAACATGGTCTCATTATACTGATTGTATTAGTATTAATTGTGGCTGTCATTATATTTCTCATATTATTTATCACCAAGAAAAATATAATACCAAGTGAAAAAAGCAAAAAAACAGAATGAAAACAAAAAAAAAATATATTTTTTTTTAAATTTTAGCTCCTTCACCCTTATCAACTTCGTTATCGAATGTTCAGTGCCCTGTTTCATGTTCAATTCATTCACATATTCCTGCCGTAGATCTTCTAACAACTAGTATTTCTTCTCTTGCTCGAGACTTGTCAAACTGTCGTTACTCATCGACGGATCTTGTTCGATGGTATTTAACACGTATTGATGCAGTCAATCGACGTGGCTCTCATCCACTTTATGCTATCATAGAAACCAATCCTGATGCTCTAACGATCGCCAATACACTCGATCAACAGCGACAAAGGACAGGACTAAGATCTTCTCTTCATGGGATTCCAATTTTGGTCAAAGATAACGTAGCAACTCATGATAAGATGCAAACGACTGCTGGTAGTTTGGCTTTGATTGGAGCTCGTGTTATTCGAGATGCTCACGTTGTTGATCAATTGAGACAGGCAGGCGCCATTATACTTGGCAAAACGTCACTTTCAGAATGGTCCAATTTCAGAGCAACAAATAAATCAAGAGAAGGATGGTCACCACGTGGTGGGCCAGTCAGGTAATTTTCTCAATGAATTAATCACAGTTTGTTTCATTTAGTTCTATAGTTCGGCATATGTAACCAATGGCAATCCTTCAGGAAGTAGTAGTGGTTCAGCCGTTGCTGTTAGTGCTGGGTTATGTGCAGCTGCAGTTGGTACAGAAACGGCCGGTAGTATTGTATCGCCATCTAGTGTAGCAAACATTGTGGGTCTCAAACCAACGGTAGGATTAACATCCCGTTCCGGTGTTATTCCAATCTCACATTATCATGATTCGGTTGGACCGATGGGTAGAACGGTCGAAGATGTGGCGTTGATGCTAGGTAAAATATTTTAAAAAAATGACTTCTACAAGAAGCATCTTCATTTAACTTATAGAAGTTATGCAGGGTGTTGATTCTCGTGACGAAGCTACACAGCAAGTGGGTACTACTCGTCATGGGAATTATTCACAATTTTTGCGTGGTGTCGAAGGATTACGCGGTCTTCGGTTAGGTATTGTAACTCAGGGTAAGTGGAACAGATAGCATACATAAGTTGCAAAAAATGTTCAAAAAATACGATTCAGGTATTAACATGACGAAAAAATTAGAAGATGTCGTGGACAAAGCAATTGCGTTGATGCGTTTACATGGAGCGATAATCATTGAATCAGTGAATTTTACAAGCAATAATGATAGTCAAATGTTTGATGATTTGTGGTCCCTTTTCTTGATCACTTTTCCCAAAGATATTGCAAATTATTTAATGGAATTGCGCAATACAACGATGCGATCTTTAACCGATCTAATTGAGTTTAATCTTAATAATACGGATGAAGAATTTCACCCTCTGTTTGCTCCTAATCAATATATTTTTGAATTGAGCAATAATTTCACGAAATCGTTATCCATGAATCAATCAAGTCTCCTGAATAAAACTCGACTATGGGGCGGACAATTGTCTATTGATGCTACGTTAGTCAACTTCTTCAGTTTTATTTCATTAATTACCTTTATTACTTTCAGTTTAACCAAACATAATTTGGATGCCCTCGTCACACCAGATGTTTTCAGCCCATTGACTATTATGGCATCGGCAGCTGGCTATCCATTGATTACTGTTCCATTGGGTTATCATCAAGCGAACGGAGAACCATATGGTTTGATGATAGCTGGTACGGCTTGGTCAGAAGCTATGCTTTTACGTGTTGCACATGGCTTTGAACAAGCATCACGTGTTCGAGATCAGCGACGACCAATATATGCTGAACGTGACTGAACTTTTTGTTAAACTTTAGTAAAGTGCAGACTTCGATGAAATTTTCACAGAAGCTTTCATATTTGATAGAACTATTACATAACTGTGTGCAAATGCTTATAAATTGAAATATTCGTGTTCCAAAAATCTTCTTTTCTAAGCTTCCATTTAATAATATATCTTTCATCTACTTTTAAACCAAACTGGTTTTCACCGAAATTCTACTTTTCGACAGAAATCCTCTTTTGACAGTTTTCGTCTGCAAGGAGATTAAACCATTAGTTTGCAAAAAATCATAAACAAGATTGATGACGTTCGGTTGTAATTATGGGCTAGTCACCTGTTAGAGTAAGACATTGAATCTGCAAATTTCTTGTTACCATGTAGTCTTTGAGCAGCGTTAATAGTTCAGTTGCTGGCATACTCACTGATAGTCATGCAGTCTTTGATTGTCTTCGAACGTTCGTAGTGCACAAAATCAGTTGAATTCAGCAGCACAAAAGGTGTGGGTTTCTTATAAATTTCGGGTAGAGTTCTATGATCTTTATGAGGTATCGCTTTCCAGCGCTGTGCCAATCAGGAACTGCAACGGTACTTAGTTCTTTTCTAATATCGAGACTTATGTCTTTGTGGTCCACTGTAATTTGGAGAGCGACAACGGCTTTTAAATATAGTGCATCATGGCTTGATTACACCAGGTATAAGAAAGTTGAATTATTATTATTTATGGTCTAATCAGAACGCAAATATTTCATAAGAGAGCTACTTCACTCAATTTACATTGGTTTTAGGAGACATTAAACATTCGAGAAAAAATTATTATTTAGCTATTGACATAATTTGTGAAGTTTTGGACGTTGAGAAATGCAACGAGAAGAGAGTCAATATTGAATTCGATTAAATCTAACTTTGCAAAGAGAAAATTTCGTTTCGAAAGTTGGCAATCGCTGAAATTGACAATAAAAAAAAGACATTCTGTTCAACATTGACTTGAATGAAGAGTTCGATGAGTTTATTGCTGCCAGAAGTCTTACACATAATCAAGTGCTTGGCTACTTGATGCACTAATACAGCCACCAAATAAATAAAATATTCGTTCAACTTGACAAAAAACTCTACTGAAGGTTGAATTTAAGTCAAACAATACCGACATGACTTTAGATGAAGCGTTGACTTTAAAATCTCATCTCGATCTGAGTTAAAATCAGATAAATTTTCTTGAAAACATTTTCCAGTTCTCAATTGACTAATTTTAATAGAGAGGCTCCGTCAAAAATTACTATGACGATATTTCATCATCCCTTTCACAATGGCACACTGATTCATTCAATAAAGAAGTAGACATTATTTATGCAGAACGTGATAGGGTCAACAAAACTTGAACACCAAGCAAAAATTCTACATAACGAAGATGAAATAATTTGTATACAAACCTAGTAATTCATTTATGATAACGACAAATTTCTTATGTAAGATATTTGTATCGATTTGTTGAAAAACCTCAACAGATAAAATTTTATGAGTAAATCAAACTCCAGACAGCTCACACTAGCACTGTCTACTAGCACTTATAGCTAAAAAGAGTTTAAGAGATTATTGCATTTCGTGAATATTGTATTGACACTAAGTAAAAGATGTGAATAAGAAAAAAAATAATAACTTTTGACTATAACAACAAAACATATGAAGTTAAATATTTTGTATTTAAACCAGTATGAAAGATTTAAAGATTCATACAATAATATCTGACTTAGGTAGTGCAGGATACCTTCTTTCCTACGTTCGATCAACTGAATGAAGAGATCACAACGAAATGCAAAAGTTAAATTATTTTTTTGTTATTAATCATATGGTAGAAAAAAGCTTTAGTTGTCTGTAAAGAAATGGTTTAAGTCGATAACAAAATTACCAAAAGTAAAAATGATAATGTAACCAGATAGTGTCTGAAATGAGTCTAGAGCTACTCTTGGCAATCATCATATCACAATTTTACTCAGTAATATATAGATGAAGTACCGTGACTCTTTTAAATTAATTTACCCCCTTCAAGCCAATGTTCTATATGGCATAAGAATGAAATTGTACAGATGATGTTGTTCTTTTCTTTTTGATCCTCCTTCTTGTTCTAATCATGTTTCACACATAGGTAAATGCTTTCAATTCAAACGGTGCTGCCATATTCTGTAGCTGCAGGATGTGGTATTATATGTAGTATTTACTTTGGTTAACTACATGAGTAAAAGAAGCATAAATCGATGTTATACAACAGCAAATAGGCCATGATTAAGAAAAAGAATGCGCATGTATGCGAAAGCGAACTCTTAAGGCCAATGTTTTTCTTTTCTCAGTGATCCTTTTTCTTTGCTCCAATTCTGTGATACACACACGATAAGTGCTTCCAATTGAAGATGCGCTATCAAATACTGTTATTGCAGAATGTGCTTATTGGGTTTAACATTTATTTATGTTATTTGCATGAGCAAAAAAGTATAAACTGTTATCAAAAACACAGCTAACAGGTTAGTATTATGAAAAGGAAAGCTGAGTCATGCGAAAGTGATACTCACAATGTCACTAGTTTCTATTTCAATCTTTTCCTATTTTTTACTGCTTGTATGCATTAGTACGTTTACTGTGAGAGTGAGTAACATCAACATTGGGACCAAGAATCAATAATTTCTGTTAGATGCATTTTTTCAAAAGAAAAGCGAATACAAGACTTTTTTTATTTCTAGATCAAATTTCGCTCTTTGAACCGCACAAAAAATGTCGGAGGTCAACAATTGGAATGGTAAATATGTCTTGTTATGTGCTCAAACACAATTGTGAATGCAATGATCTGTTTTGTATTCGAATTCTAGAAAGATTATTTGGCTGTTGCGATGATTGTGGCATATGCTGCTATGGATGTTGGTGTACTCCATGTCTATTTGGTTCAAACGCCGAGAAAATCGATGACAGTAGCTGTTGTGCTTTTTGTTGTGTTTACTAGTTGTTAGAAACCTGTTATCTATTCTGGTTACCTCATTATTTTAAACGAGAAAAAATACGATGAACATTTAATCGTCGAGAAGATTCAACGTGAGGCGATATTCCAACAACCTTGTGCTGTGGTCCATGTGCAATGTGTCACGAGGCTCGTGAGATGAAATCGAGAGGTAAGCATGCCGCACTGCTATCGACTTGCAGACATTCCTACATATAGGTCATGATCCAAGGAGGAGTCAAAATGTAAATTATCAGGTTATCATTCATCCTACAGTTTCTTCTCAGCCAATGTATAGCAAACAACCTCCTCAATGAGTATCCGAATGGCGTAATGTTCCATCGTACAACTATCCAATATTAAGGAAAGTTCAACGACATTAACGAAATTCATTTTCATCTTCACTAGAAACTAGTGGATCTTGCGTTGTGATTTTTCTATATTATCTCTTTATGTTCCACTCCACCTTATTCATCCAACGAAAAAGACGATTTAAATCAAAATCTATTTCTTTTTGTTTATATCATGTTTGGCGTTGGTGGCCATAGAAAAGTAATTGAAAAAAATGGCAACATTAATTAATTGTTTCATGAAAGAAAAATATGTTCACAATATATTGAAAGTCATTTGAGAAAACCATCATTTCAAAATTCAGCAGTTGTGTCAAATTTGAATTCAATTATTGAAAAGCTATTTCAACTATTCAGTTATTGAATAGTTGTAGTTCAAATATTCAATTATCTCCTTTTTTGGCATCCACACTAGCTGCGGATAATTGAATAGTCCAATTCAAGTTTCACGTTTGACGTATATCAAAACTTGTTGAAAACTTTCTCAGATGAATCATCATCGAAAGAGATATAGAGATAAACTAAAACGAAAAGAAAAAAATAGTCGTACGAAAAAGGATCGATATAAAAACTAATCGAGAAATTTATAATAAGAAAAAAATTTTGTTTTATTAAAAGTGTGAGCTTACATTCTCAGATATAAAGACACAAAATAACACTCACACCCTAAAAAAAATGATAATACTTCATACACTATAAGCAAGTCGTTCTAATTGCTATAGAGTAGTCATAGTCTATAATTTTCTTATTAATCGCTGTCTGTTCTTTTTCGTCGTTGTTTAACGTATTCGTCTCAACTCAAGGATTTCAGTGAAAAAGATTCTTTTCATCATTATTCGTTCGACCAATTTTCATGGACTGAAAAAAGCATGGTATAATCACTCAAAGTCAACAAAAAGACATTCTATTTTTATTATTAAGTTTTAAAAAGATCAAGCACTATGCTGGTAATATCTTAAATATAGTATAGCATGCAGCAATAAGATCAAAGAAAATGAGAACGGACTCTTGTCAAACAAATTTATTAAAGAAATTTCATTTATTTGTATGCCATATCGAATTCTCTTTGAATATTATTCTGCTAAATCTAATTTATAGTTTAAATTAATCAGTTTTCGAGAAATGAATAGTTCAATCAACAAGAAACAAGTCTTCTTTGTAGTTTACTAAGCTGATTGTTGGATTAAACTTCAACAATCTTCATTGATTTAATTTGAATTGTGCGAAAGTTAAATGCTGATTTGAGTGAATGATAACTGAAAGAGAATAAAAACTAGATAATCAGTGTTGTATGTGATTCTCTGTCATTGTTGGAAGAATACAAGCTATCATTGAAGATAGGGTGATACAAAAATAAACGTTATTTTTTATTATCGTTCGTTTTCAAGTCACTATTTTTAATCATCAAGTAGCAAGTGTCGAATTACGTTGCTTAGTTTCAAGAGAAACCTTAGCTTCCCACGTATTTCAATATCTTCATGAATTCTTTATATCTGTTTTATTAGAAATTATTTTAAGCAACAAGATTCCATTAAACAAAAGATAATATAAAAATAGATTAGATGCATTTCAAGTAAACATTATACTGCTAGGCATGTAGATTAATACTTGTATAATACAAATGTCAAATAGGATAGAAAAAAGAAGTTTAAGTATATGGATGAGACTTCTGTTAACCATGGATCAATTTAAAAAACAATGGCATGAAGGTTTGAATAAATATTTTGATCGACTAAATAGTGATCAGATACACATTAAAGAGTTGCAAATCGAAAATGAACAACTTAATAGCACATTAATGATCACTTAATACGCTATACTGAGATTTAGAATGATAATCAATCTTTGTAAATAACATGTCAATCAACATGATATGATTAACTTTCATCTCAATAAATGCGTCATTCATCTGAATAATTTATTAAAACGATTACAAGAAGACAAAAAGGTTTGTTGCATAGGCGTTCTGGAAGTGCAGAATACAGTATAATGAAATAATACTCAAATTTTCATAGATACTGGCATATATGAATAGTATAAATCAAATTCGTTTGATTTCTTATCTAGATTTTGTCATTGAATACGTTGAAAAAAAATTTGTTTTTTTTTTCATAACAAAATATCCCTGAATTGCAATTGTATGAAAAAATGTGACAGAGAATCATTATTCAAAGATTATCTTTCCATTAAAAAAAAACAATTCAATTTAAATAAAGATGTTGAACAACAAAATTGTGACCTATTGAGCTGCAAATTTTGTTACAGATGAACAGCTTCAAAATGAAAGAATCCATATATAGAATTTTTTCCTCTACAAAAGTCCATAATAAATCAAAGCAAAACAATTCACGAGCAACATAGACATACAATTGTACTTTCATGGTAATGATATTGAAACTCGTTTCTTTTACTTCGCGTAACGCGAAACACCAGTTTTCTCAATTCTGGCTACTTATGATCTCTCTCTGACTTTGTCCGATCAGGCTGAGTTTTTTTTCATCACAGATACTCAGAAGTGTTCTCTAAGGGTAAAATTGATGGTTTTTATTTTTGAAATCACTATCCGGATTTACAAGATTCTGAAAGTTAATAACCCGGCTTTGACTTCGAACCTTTACGTATTTCTCTCATCAAAATATATAAACCAGATTTTCAAAAACGCTCAAAAAAAAACCTAGAAGATACGGTGTGAGGTATCTCTAAAAAAACATTTTCAGCCGAATCGAATAAAATTTGATGGGGGGTCGTAATATACCGAGATGTAGTTCTTCGGAAAATCAGAGTGTTACTTCAATTTCATTGGTTGTATCCTCTCCACGAATCGAAGCTAATAAATTTCGCTGGAATCAGTAGAAAAGATATCGGAAAATCATCGTATCCGATATGAAAACGATGGGAACCGATGTAATTTGAAGTAATATTCTGGATTAGACTATCTGCGGATTTGTTGGGAACTTTCAGCTATCTCCTACTGAAAAGAATAAGGAGTTAGCCGAAAATCCTAGGAGAAATTCGGATACTTTTCGATCGCAAATATTACATCCAAGTTTTTTCAAGATTTAATCTTCACTTTTATAACGCCAACGAGTTCTTTTGTATGTGGTATGATAAGGTCATTGAAATATAACAATTTCTTATCTATTCTAAAGAATGCTTTTTCTTTTCATTTCGATTTCATAGCTTTTTATGACAGCAATAAACAACGAGTCAGTGTCGCAATCTTATAATATTCGTCCATGTACGATCGCGGATGAGGAGAGTGCTATTGCTGTTTGTTTAAAGACAGGGGATGCTGGTAACGACGCAAGCTTGTTGTATGATGATCCGAAACTGCTGGGATATCGATATGTTTCACCATACATTCATTTATCTCCGGAACTTGCATTTGTCTTAGAAGATTCGGAAGGAAATGTATGTGGATATGTACTTGTTACTTTACATAATGATATATTTTACAAACGATATTTGAAAGAATGGCTTCCAAAAATGAAACAACTTTATCCCACCATTCCATCAGGTGAATGAAGTATACATTGTTACAGATCGAGAGCTATTCTCAATTAGAAAAACATCAAAATAAATATTTACAAAATGCGTTTTTGAAAGTAGTTAGAATTTTCTGTATTTATCTTTTTAGACGAAGAAAGAGTGAAAAGAGATTGGCAAATTGTACACAGTTTTCATAATGATAATTTACAATCATTGAAAATTTTTGATGACTATCCTTCACTTCTTCATATTGATCTTCTTCCAAAAGCTCAAGGTTGATTAATATACATTTAAAAATAAAAATAGATACTAAGTTTAATGTTACAGGAAAAGGTTATGGAACAAAGATGATACATCATATTGAAAGCGAATTGCAACGGCGTGGATCAAAAGGTATTCATTTAGGTAAATAAAATCTCATGTTTATGGTAATTTTTTTTCTAAAGAAACAAATATGGTATATTTAGAGATGGCAGCTAATAATGCTAGAGCATTTCGCTTTTATACTAAACTCGGCTTCACCGTTCTTGTTCAAGATCAAGAGACTATTTGGCTAGGTAAAAAATTGACATAAATTATTACATTTTTCCTTTGGCTGTGCTAAATGTTATAAAATGTCTTAAATTAATCAATTTGTTGATTTTGAGTTTATTCTACTAAAATTGAATATTCATCTTGATTCTTTATGTCAAATGATTAAATTTTATTGATAAAAGAATGATATGAACACTTACCTTTTTTAATTATTTTAAAAAATATCAAAGTCTTTATAATATCGAAAGACCAATGAGAACCAATAATATGTATGTATATATAAAATATACTCATGTTATTTTTTGAAAGCCAGTTTAGAATGTCAAATAGATTTTTAACACCAACATCTCTATCTACTTATCGTGTACAGGATGCTAATGATTATTGAATCAATTAATGAGATAAGAGCCCCATTTTGACAAGAAAATGGAACTTGAAAATAAACAAAAATTATTGCTGCAATGCATCAGAACGAAAAACAAGTCTTCTTATTTGTATGAATGTAAAGGAAACATTTTTTTTGAACAATTAAAGGTGAACTACGTACTAATAAAAGTTATTCCTTTTCTAAAATCATCGTCTTGTTAATAAATCACTCAAGCAATCTATTTACATTCATTTAGGAAAAGAGATAATGTTAAAATAGTAGAAAACACGAATAAATGACTTCCTAAACATTGTCTATGATTATATGAAACGAATTGAAGACAATATTATTTGATGAAGCATTCTTGCATTGCTTGAAGGATAGTTTCATCATTTTGTTGAAGCATCATCTTAGGTGGATGACTCATGAAATGACCAAAAGCATAATTTGAAAGAAATTGTCCAAAACGTTGATCAGGTACATGAGGCCAAAGTTCTTCAATTTTGTTAATAATATTTTTCTGAAGTTGAGTAAGTTCAGAAGGAGATGTTGATGAACTTTGAGCCTTTTTTATAGCTTCATTTAAACGTTCTTCAGTTTGAGTATCCTCAGGATAAAAGATATCTCCTCGAGATTCTATCCAATCTGCCCAAATCCATTTTTCTAATAATCCACCTAATGTTAAAATATGGTCGTACGTCCACAATTGAGAAACAAGATCTATAATTCGTTTAATTCGTTCAAATTCTCTCATCGTTGTTCTAAAACATACAATAAAACTTGAATTATGCAGTAATATTAAGAGCATGTTGCTGTCAAAATTCGTTACGATGACTCTGTAGCACAGGAAAACGTGGCAATAGAAAGCAAAAATTTTATGAAGCAATTATTTCATCAAAACGGAGAGTGATGATGAAAGAAAAAGGAACAACGACCATTGCAGTGTGCACGTGTAATGTTTATTTCAGGACTCAACAGAGTAGAAAAAATATCAGTCCGTTTCTTAAGATAGCGTCACCAAGATTATTTATGACGACGATCATAAATGACTGTATAAATAGCATCTACAATGACGTAAATGGACGTCTAAATTGGTGCAATTACAATTGTATGATATCATATTGTATACGGTAAAATGCATACATCGTTTACAGTGGCATCGGTGTCGTAATATGGTGGTATATTTTGACGAATATGACCGTATAGACACTATCGTTTATGACTGTATATGAAAGTAAATAACTGTACAGATCATAATAAACTGATATGTTATCAATAAGTACGGGCATATCTCCTTACAAGAACACTTACGCGTTTATTCGTATATTCTAAACTAAACGCTGCACCACTAATACTCCTATACCTATTGCCTTATCATTATATCCTTACTACGCTTATATGTTGACCATTTCACATAGAATTATCCTTAGTTGTTTTTTGTTGATAAATACATTCATCAAGAAGAACTCTTAAAGCGCAAAAATTAGATTCAATCGGATCTAAAACTGTTGTAGAGTAAGTACTAAAGAGAATGATTGAGTTTTGGCGCATAGAATCTCTGCTGTTTGTCAATTTCGATGTAATCATTCAATCGCCTGAATGGAACTTTCAATCGAGTTCGACTCGTTTCAACAGACAAGAATCGATTACGTAGAACTATCAACTAACCAATCAACTGCCATTCTTTGTAATCCGATTAGGCTACTAATCAAAACGTTCATGACTCTTCATCATATCGTAGTAGATTTGCAAGAACTGTTCAGATTTCAGCAACAAAGAAATTTCGATAAAGTTACTCAAGAATATTTCTTTTAGAGTATTTTGTGTAAGCGCAAGACAGATACGCTTTCATAAAACCTCTTGAATTGATTGAAAGATGGACAATAAACAATGAAAATGATGGTGGAAATGACTGGTATTTTACTTTGAACCGATTCAAAACCCAATGGGGCGTTTAAATTATGCTGATTCTCTCAAGGCTTTTTCGTTCTAATTGCATCGTAGCTGATTGTGACTATTTGACAAAAAGAATGATTTTTAAAAAATTGGTTTTCCTCAACAGCGTTTATCGTAAAAAAACGATTATGACACTTTAGTGTCGCACATTATGATATATTATTAAGATTACATATGATATTTATTTTTCTTGATATATTCATTTTTACATCAAGAAATATACACACAACATGAATCATGTTATTTGTTCATATTTTGAAAGTTGTAGAAATGTTCATTGAAGAAAAGGCAATGAAATAGAATACAAATTCAAAATAAATGCAGTTCAAATTTATTTGAACCAGGGACTTGACATGATATTGGGTAATTCACTAAGTGGATACTCCATCAATTGTTTTTGACGTGATACTGTTACGGCAGTCGCATGTTTATCTTCACGTTCTGTACCAGTATTCACCACATTTGCTAATGGTTCAACACGAATATCTCGACGATGAAAACATACCATGTTTGACGTGCTTACAAGACTAAATAGTTCGTCTCGAAAACTCCGCGATACTAATATATACAAATAGAATGCTGTAACAGGAAATAAATAGACACACAATTCAGCGAAAAAGAATGCGAATCGTTCAATAGCTAAACGGTCAGGTGATTTATTTGGAATATTGATAACTATTGAAGCATAAAACGTATAGATTAATTGAGGTGCTTGAACGAAACAGTAGACGACAACTTGTACGAATAACATGGCTAATGCATTTTGATCTCGTGTACGTTGTATACGTGCATGACTCTTTTGAATAGTAGAACTACTTTTGATAATATGTTCTTCACGTTTACTGCGTTTAATGGCAAGATTACGTCGAATGAGTAGAGTACATGTAATCATTATGATCAAAGGAATGATACCCCCCGTAATTATAGTATAAGAACTGTGATAGAGTGCTGCTATTCGATTATATACGATAGCGCAAATACCGGCACCTGGACGTATCTCGTAGAACACAATCGTATGAATAGGTAAAATAAGCCAAATACAAATAATAACAACAACTGCACGGCGTGCAATATGTACTTGTGCGACTCGCCGTAGACGCGCGTTTCTTGAACTCAATGCATATCGATCAATACAAGCAATAGTTATCATCCAACGAGCCATCATGAAAGTTGACTGCAGTATATAGATACGTGTCTTACAAAATGCACGTATTGTCGTATTCGGATCTGGATTATTAAGAGTATAGAGAAGTGAACCACAACCCAAACATAAACTTATGATCATAATTGCTGATGCTCCTAGGAAATCTGCAAAACAAGTATTACGTAGTTTCAATGAACAAATGTTATCCAAAAAAGTACATTCTGACTTTTTATTAAAACAAATGCAGTTCAATGATGAGGAGCAGAGAAGATTTGTCAGATACTTTCAATGCTACAACGTCTACAACGATGTAAAAACGTTATAAGAATACAAGCAAGACATACGTATTATAGAAGTAGAGCACAATTTCGAAAAAAAAACAGACATGGTTTCGTGAAATTTAATATGGCATAGTGTGGGGTTACTAAAAATATTTAATTTGATATTGATATACATAGTTTTTGCAAAATGACTCTTTGAGTCATTTTGAGTCAACACACTAATGATGAAAATGATCATTTTTTAAGTGAATTTTATACAATACCGAAACAGATTTTTTACACTCTTTCAGAAAATGCTCTCGTATGTTTTGAATTCCCAATCATAAGTGGTTTTTGATTGAAACCTCAAGAAAAAAATTCCTTAATATTTCCATCGTTAAACAATGACCGAAAGATCTGCTGATCTTGAGAGTTACTGCAGAGATTATTTATAAATAGAAAATGAGAGGACAAACGTCTTTCTATCATTTGAGAATTTAACTACAATAACAAATCGACCAATAAATGGCAAACGTATCAATCAAATACCGCGAGATTGACATGTGCCATGGTATAGTATAATGTATTTTCATTGATTACAACTTCTACTCTCATAACTGCTGAATAATAAAGTAGAAAAAGACTGATATTGCGGATTTCATAGTTTTCACTGATGACCTTTCATTTCAGGATAGAAAAATAACAACAAGTAATTTTGTTAATGTCAAGTCATCTCATCTTAGAAGGTTTTCTCATGAACTCTCTCTCTCTGTAGAATATAAATTAGACATAACAGTTTTTTTTATTAATCTACCCAATCAAATATGAAGCTTTAAAAAACATGTGTATTTGGGGAAAATTTTCAGAAACTCGCAATAATTTGCAAGAAATTACTTACATGTAAATGCCAAGGTGTAATTTCCGCGTATCTACAGCATGAATAGAATTTTGCTAGGTGCTGCATATCAATGCAAAAAAATTCCTATTTACAAAAACTATCATCAAAGTGATTATGCATCGATATGCACATTTCAGCTATTTTGCAATATAAGTTAGATAACTTATTCACCGTTTTTTAAAATTCTTCTCTCTTATTAGCATTTATCTAGACGCGTACCAAATCGTTATTGAACTATCATAGTATTGCACTTCTAATGCAAGTTGATAATCGAATGGCGAAGCAGTTCGCCTTATCAAACAAAGTATGTATGTTTCAATTTCATCTCTGGAAAATACTAAGTAATATGTGTTCATACATGATTACTATATATGCTCCGTTTTTTGGTTATTCTAGAATTTTCTAGCGTGTGTATGGGCAAATTTCCATGGCGTGTCAACGCGAATATACTATCATGTCTGACGCGTTCAGACTTATGTCATGTAAAAGCAATTTGTGCAGGTACACGTTACATTTTGCACGCGGTTACACGTATTTTGTAAGTTTCGCATTTGACTGAGTGACAGAAAGTATTGTTTTAAATTTGTAATCTTTCTCTGTCAAAAAAATTTATCAGCACAATTTCATTGCTTCATTTCTTTTATAACATCTAAAGCGTCAAAAACATCTATACTTAGCCAATATTTTCTCGTCGTAATACATCTGTATGCTCGACTAGATTTTCAAGGTATTCAGTCAATTCATTTTGTACTTGTCTCAACTATATTGTAACAGATTATTGCATGTTTTGTTTTTGACAGAGAAAATGCAAAATATTTAAAATGCTAGCTTTTTGCTCCGACACTTAAAATCTTCTGTTTTAGACAATTGTGTACTGGTAAAATAAAAATATTCTTTTTTTTCAGTCAACAAATTAGGGAAGGTACGGACATGTCCAATGTTGTATTGGAATAGCATTGGCAAAAGTGAAATAATCTATTAATTGTGATTATATTGATGACAAAGTTGGAAAAAAAACAACAATTGCCGAACATAGTGAAAAATTTACATGAACGAAAGAATAAATGCAATGTAAAAAACCCTGTTCATACGTGAATATGGCTGTATTTATTTGTTAAACATCGTCATTCATTTTCGTAACTTTGTTGAATTCTCTAAGTAGATATATGATCTTCTGACGTCATTGTGTTCATAGGACTACTGATGAATATTAGGAATCCTATTTCTCATTCTTTTTTAATACTGTTGTTGTTGAAAGAAGATAATAATGCACATCTTCCTATTTTTACCTTTTTTTTATCGATAGGAAAGTTTATTGATATTCTTTGTAGTGATCCATATGAATTAAAATGAAACTAGGTCAATATAGAATTTTCTTTAAGTGCTATTGGTTGTATGACTTTACTTGATTGGTATAAAAATGTTCCCTGAATCGCGCTGAAAAATGAGAGAAACAATGTCTCTCAATGCCATTAGAAATCCTAATATTGAACGACACTATTGAACTACTAAGCTGATATTTATTTATCACAGTTAAACAGACAATAATCCTTTGTTATCATTCATGACTTATTCATAAATAGAGAATTTCTGCAGGAAATATCTTGTTGTAAAAATGGTTCAGATGTTAATATGTTGAACGCTTGAAAATGCTTCAAAAATAGTAATCGTATAGTGTCACAGTCAAAACTTATTGTGATTCTCTAGTTGAAGAGAATTTTGTCTATATTTATAAAGTCTCGAAAATCACTATTGTAATCTGTTTATCAATCTATTCAATTTACATGTCACGATGATCGGCCGAAAAATGTTCCGTTAACCACGACGCTTATCTTTGAATTTCTCTTATGTCCCACTGCATAAATATTTTTAAATCTTTAGAAAAATGTCAGATTCCAGTCAGATTCCTATCCCCGTCCTCTCATATTCGCCAATGCGCTCCAGTCATCTATGCCAGTCACATTAACTTAATTTTTGAGTTTGATTAATTAGAGAAGATAGCGTCACAAAAATCGTCAAAAGTCAAAAGATTTAGTCAATAGAAAAAAATTGCTATATCATCTAATATACAATACTGTTACATACTAAAATCGACGTTTTAGAATAAAAGCACTCTTTATAAGACAGATAAACTTCAATGAATAGAAGAACTAATACTAAGTTAATAAAATAAAAGAACAAACAGGCAGCTATGATGAAAATTTGACAACATAGTATCTTGGAACCGTTGTTGACATCGTCAAAGATACTTTTCGAAAAAAAACAGACGGAATTTTTCGGGAAGTGCAATTGTCTACTTCAAAAACTCTCGTTGAAGAAGCAAAACATGTATGGTATTTGGTTTAGAAACAGAAAAAAGATCAATCATGAATGTAGATCATTACATTGAATGCTCATTTTTTTCAAGAATAGTCGGAATTTCTAACTGGTTCAAAGCAACCGATAAAAAATACTGTTTAATTTAGTAATTCAAACTTACAATTGCAACATGATGTGATACGTAACTGTCGTCTTGACAAAAGAATAACGTTCAGTAAACAACCTGGAACACCAAATAGGATCCATGCTGAACAAGCATAGCGAGTTAATTGTTGCTGAACATATACCAGTGTTGTGCCTATTGATGATGAAGCCATTCTTATGGATAAAACTTCTATTTGTCTAGAAAAGATGACTGAGTGGTAAATAACCTTTTGAATAGTTGCAAAATAATATTGTTTTGACGTCAGCTTCTATTTAAAAAGTGGAAATTTAGACAGATATGCGTAACTTATCTATACGCATGTATAAGCCATAGTAATTAATAAGAAAAAGTAACATGATGAAATTGACAGATTAGGATTTCATGTCTTTCTATTTGAGATGTGTATCAGTAGGATTCTCTCAAGAAATAGAAGAAGCCATGCATTTATATCTGTGTCAAAAAATAATTAATATAGACATTTATATCTAAAATGTAAAAATATACTAAATTGGTTGAGGGCTTAGAATTCCAGCAAGGGGTGACAGTTTCTAACATTCAGAAAATCTGTCAGGAACAGAATAAACTCCTGTACTCACATGTCGATAAAAATACATCATATTTAATTCATCAAATTTTATTCCTAATATGTTTAATATTATTTCAAGATGAAAAAGGTGTTTGACCTGTTACAACATTATTTTCAAATAAATGTATTCATGATAACAATGCTAATATGAGTTTTCATATGATGAAAATCCAAAGATGTCGTAATATTCATCAGCTGGGTAAAGATGAGCTTCAAGTTACGGTATTCAACAAAGCCAATACTGAACTCATTACATCGAATTCACTTAAAACCCTCAATTTTTGTAGATATGTGGGTACCGAAATGAATGTGCATCGCGATACCCATGTCTTCAGAGTAAAGGATTTCGAGTAAATTTGATTTCGGTATAGGTCTAGATTTGGTGAGAGTGCATTGAAGACTCACACCCACACCCTAGTCTCTGGCACATTCATACGCATGTCGTACCCATAACAAATTATCCATTTCGAATACAATTGTAGAAATACTCACTTGGTAGTCATTTGTTCATTTCTATGCAATTATCATCAAATCGTAGAAAACTGTTTATTTTCGATTTGCGAAATCTAACGACATTTGTTTGTTGAATAATAATTATAATAAGAATATTGTCATCTAAGACTAAAAGACTGATTGCAATGTCTAAAAAAATGTGTCGGATATACTCAACTGGATAAGTTTAGTTCATTTTGATGTTCATTTAAGAATATTATTGTGCTATGATTCTTAATTTGCTATATGTCAAGTTTCGATGGAAATCATTAATAATCTCTGGAAAATTGCATTTAGCAAATCGATTATTGAGTCTATCCATTTTCTGGAATAAAGAATTTAATTGAGAATGTATTCACTTTCTTTTCTATATTTGCCACAGAAAGTCTTATTCTAATAGTAACAAGTAACGTTCAATATATTTTTGCAACATGTATTGACACAAAGTTAGTTCATTGACAAATGTACAAAATTTATTCGATTCGAAAATCTGCATGGTATGGTAACTTTAAAAGGAAATATAAAAAAACAAATACGATCTTTTCTCTATTGAAACATTAGATTATTATTTACATGTAGATGAAAAAGCAAAAATTCTTGATTGTTTATTTTAATATGAGAGAAAGAAAAGATTTTTAAAGTTTATTCTCCATATAAAGTAGTTATTCTCATTCATTTAGACGACCGAAATAAATCACGAATTTCGACAAAATTATAAATAACATTTTGAATCTTGTTCGATTGGATATTTATTATTTCGATCATTTTCTCTAATCGTTCTTGTGGTTCTTGCAATACTTTTGGTACAAAAAGATCAACTTGTCGACACATAGTATCAATGTTATTATGGATATTATTTTTACTCTTAAAAATAATATTTGGTTGAAAATAAAGACGAAGTACAAGTTGTTGATTTGCAAAAGTAATAAGTTGACCACCAGTGATTGGTATTCGATTTAAATCATAGATAAATAATTCATCTATAACAATAGCATTCTCAACAAATATTATATAGCCATAACCTCGAGTAGCAAGTCGAGCAAATTTCTTGCGATGACAAAACCATGACGAAAATATTGTGGCTAATTGAGGTGAACCATTGGGTCCGAAAATATATTCTAAATATCTATAATAAGATTGAACAATTGACAAGCAATATAAGATATTATAATCTTACTGAATCCATTCGTTTCCATCCAGTCGCCATATGATTGCTTCGGTTGTTTGATCAAAAATTAAATTCAATTGACGATAATAATATTCATGCTTAACCAGCAAACGAATAGTGATTATTGTTGAAGTAAAAAAAGAAATACCAGTTGCAATTGTACCGATAATGCATGCTACTGTCGATTTTGGTTTACTACTAGTCAGTGTTAGAATAAAAACAATGAACAAACTAAGAGTGATGAATGAGAATATACCAAGAATGATAGGTATAATTGTATATAATATTTTATAGGAACGTCGATAGGCAGCCAATACTTGAGGTAAAATATTTTTATTAGCACCAAACATGTCTACGATGTCTTTAGTTCAATAAATAATGCTAGAAATGAAAAAACATGTTAGAATGTGTACCATAATATATATATGTATTTATATACACATAATAAATATGTCATAATCTTATCAATAGAAACAAATCAATAATCTAAAATGATTATATTGCGAAAGCTATTGAAGTAAAATTATGATATTTGTTTTTGGATTGTTTTAATAGGTTGATTAGTGTGTGGAGTTTAATATACAAGTTACTAATAACAGCAATATGTCAATCAATAGATAAGCTTTTGTTCATATAAAATGTCATGATCAACAAATATTGTGTTAATAAACTTGATAATTTCATTTAGTCGTAAATTTTGATTGACGTTGTTATATAAAATTCATATAAAGTAGTATTCCAGAAGTTCCGAAACGATTATATAATTGATTTTTCTCGCATTCAACAAAAGTAAACTCTTTGAAAATTTGACAGATTACTGTATCTACTTAGAACTAAATATCTACGAAGTTTGAGATTTATAGCTTTTACTATGGTTGAGAATCTGTGACATCACTATCATGAAGTATTTTTTAAAATTTTCTCGTCATCTTGGTTATTATTTTTTAAATAATGCGACTTTTCGAACTCAAAATAAACTCACATCAAATTATGCATGTTCATGTATTTGGTTATCATCCTGATCGAGTTAATGTGATTTTTCAAGATTCTAAACAAGATTCCTATAGAAAACGTATGATGTGTATTATTCATTGTTCTTCATCTTGTTTCTAAAGTTTTTGTTCAACATTTCGATTAAAATTGGTTGAAGGAATCAAATGACTGATATCAAATTATCTTTGCAACAATGTTAACATATGATACAGAAAATATTTTCTCTAATTTGCTAGTTAATTGATCATTTATTTAATTTAGAAAAAAAAGAAAAAGTAAATTTATATTCGTAGATTTTATTTATTGTAATGTAACTTGAAAAGTTCTAATTTGCATAGGATTGAGTGTTACTATGGTACTCTTCAGTGAGTTTAAATCTAAAATATTATAAACAAATGAATTAATATAATGGAAAAAATCATTGATTCCTACGTGATGGCTTTGAATAAGATAATTCATTATTATTTGCTCTCCAAACAAGTCTTTTCATATCATTCAATGGTAAATTAGCTCCAAGTGTTAATTCAAGTACATCAATAATTTGACCTAAACTATTAAAAAAACTTTGTAAATCAACTTGAACTGATTTGGAATAAGTGTCGTCTTCATTCAATTCAAAATAGTGTTCAATTCGTATAAGAAATACTTTTGATGTCCATTGATCAAAGGTTAATAAATGAACATTATATGGCATTGATTCAGTCAAAGCTGACCATGTTTGACGAAAGCTATTCGAATAATTAGCATAAGATAAATTCGGTAATGCATAAGTACTAATAGAACTCATATAAAGATGTTGAGCAATAGGGCGATGATAAAGAGCACTAGATTCTGGTGGTTCAACGATGAGAAAATGTTTACCACATATGACAAGACCTTGACCATAAGCTGTTTCATTCATTGGTTCACCGACACCTTGTGAATCGTCATAAAGTGTACGGCGATGAATCATAAGTTCAACCGAACCATCATGCATACTTGAACCACCTTCCGATCGATCTAAACAAAATGAAGAAATATGATTCAAAAAATTGTAATATACTATTTTGTTTATACCTGTAAGTATAGTCATTTGGCGTTTATTATCTTTAATCCAAATACGACTAGCTACTGGATAATAATTTCCACTAACACTTTCATATACTGTATAATTCCACGTTGGCCGATAATCTCTTTTACGTTCTAATACTTCACGTCCATTAGCATCCGTATAGAAAAGTCCATTACTTTGAATATCTGTATCATAACGCATAACTATTTCTTTGCCAATATTATCTTCAATTGGTATCGGTCCAACAATCCATTCAATTTCAGCTATTCTTGCACCATCATAGAGTTTTATTTCTTGACTAGCCCAATTATTATATACAATCAATGCTTTTTGCACTTGATTTGTATAACTACATGTTCTAAAAATTATATAAAATTATTATGAAGAAATAGTTGCTAAACTTTATTTTATACTGACATATTACGTGAACTGCTTAAAGGCAATGGGTTAGATGTTAACGGTCGAAAAAAATAAGCACCTGATGCTTGAAATTCAGGACTAGAGTTATTACCTGGAAAACCTAATATAGAAAAATATCATGAAAGAATAATATATTTAACTGATAATTATCGATATTTACTTGTATACCAATATAAACCTTGTGCAGAAAATAACACTGCAAAATTTCTATTTTTATTAGTAATATTATTTAAATTGCCTTGATCATCAAACTCAATTCGAAGATGCTAAATAAAATAGAAAGAGACATAAAACATAACATTTGCTTTTTTTTTCTCAATTATCATTTACTTGATTTTGAAGTATACATGCTTCATTATGTGTTATTCTTATTGTAGATTTTTTCTCTATTGTAGTGTCAGCTAATGAAAATAAATCATAGATTAAACTGAATAATTGTTATTTTTTTTTTACTTTCAACTTGAAAATAATAAGTATTAAAACCAAGAGCAGGTATAGATGCTCGAAATAGTAATTCATATTGAGCAGAACTTGTTCGACCAGGAATATTTTTCATTGGCGTAGATATTGGAATAAGCTATATAATTAAAACAAACAATAAATAATACTGGTAGAAACAACATCATCCAATAAATATTTACTTCCGCTGCAACCATATCACCAGTTGGATTTCGTATCGTATAATTTTTGGTTACTGGTACATGGATCATATTTTCAACGAGTTGAATAGTTGGATTCCAAATTGTTACTGTAAACTATTGAATATGTTTCATTGACAGATGATGTTAACAAAACTGCTTTCACTTACACTATCTTGTCCTTCGATGGGTAAACATTCACTTATATTTGAAAATTGACAGAGAAATTGAGTTGGTACTGATAATAATTGATTTTCTTTCAACAATAACTTTTTATAAGCCTCATTCATAACATACTAGAATATAAAACAAAAAAAAACAACTCATTATCAACTTCTATATATCAATTTTCTTACTATGACTGAATCAATGCCTTCTGATAAACGTTGAGCATAATCATTAGCAACATGTTGTTTTTCTGTTCCAGTAACTGCATCATGATGTTGAACAACACCCATTGCTTCATCTGTGCATGTAAATTTTTTTATTTTTCATTACATAAAAAAGAATTTTTTTAATTTCTATTTATACTTAGAGGAAAAATTGCTTCACGTAATGTAATATTAGAAAATGCATTAAGTTGTCTTGTTACTTGAAGAATATTATTCGAATAACGTTCATATCTTTTCAATGCCGGTCTTGAAGTAAAATATCCAGTCCAAAGTCCATGTTGATTATAAGAAATCGGAAAGAAATCATCTGTCTTCGTTGTCCATGTTTGATTGGCTTTGTTTAATGCATATAAATAGCATGTCGGAGTAGAATAGAATAAATTAACATCACTACCATTCGCTTGCTAAATATACGGTGTCCAAAAATCCGAACGAAAAAAAAAACCGTGAATATCTCTTCAGCAATTCAAGGAATGTAAATGCTTTTATTTATAGTTTGATCACATATTCATTAACGTTTTCAAATAAAATGTTTGCATTTAGAGAAGTCAACATTAAAATAGTTTTATTCATGGTCACATTTCAACAAGCCAGCATTGCAAAATGGTAACTACGAATTGAATGACGAAACAAAAATCACGCCAACTGAACATTGTAGTGATTTTGTGAAATTAGTACTATTGAAAATCAATAACTGTAGAGCTACTACTGAAGAAAAAGTCAATGACGCTTGTAAAAATGAATCAGGATCAAATGTTCAGCCGATGTACTTCTTCTTCGTAGAACTACTGAACAAATTCTTCCTTTTATAGCGTTAGTAAGAAATGTTCCATCATAGTCCAGTATGTTATTGTTTGGAGTAATGAACAAGATTGTTCCTGACTCATTTTCACAAGCATCCTTTACTTCATTGATATTTTCTTCAGTAATTGTTGTAGATGATACATTTGACTTGCAACTCGAGTTTAGTCATCGGCGAAACTATTTTAATTCTGATTTTTAGAGATATGGGTACTTTATCTGAAGACTTTAATAAATATGCGATTAAGCTGTAGAAAAAATGTTTAGATCCCTTGAATTGAAGATGCATTTACAATTACCTGTGCATTAACATATTTAATTAATTTTTCTAAATTTTTAAACCATTCATTGGCATTCTCATAATGGAAATCACTACCCATTGTCATCATTATATGATTTGTTGTATAACTACGAGCCTAAAAAGTATATATATATATAATTATAAGTTTGATTTCGATTATTATCAACTTGAATATGTGCTGCATCGATAAATGCTTGGACTCTTTCAGGTACATCATAATCATTCAAATGTGGGTCGTCCTATGTATGAAAAGATTAAATGTTATTAGAGAAAGTACAAATGATAAGTGAACCTTAATAGGTTCATCATGACAACGATAATCGAAACAAAACGATTGTGGTGCAGTATAAACTCTGGGCAATATACCAGTAAAAAGCCAACTTTGTTCACCTAAATTAGCACTTCCTTTCCAAATCATTTCCATTCTTTTTGTTTTATTACGTTCAGCATAATCTTGAAAATCAACTCTACCGAAAAATAAACCATCAAAACCCATCTATAAATTATATTTCATTTGGAAAAAAAAACATTTTATTGTAATAAACTAACGTGTGCAAAGAGTGATGCTACTTCTCTTGAATGACCAAATGGATCAATTTGCCAACCAAGTTTTGGTCGACCACATTCTCCAAATTGATCACGTAAAAATTCAGCCCCTAAACTATGTTGATCAATAATTGAATTGTAATGTGTTACGCCCTCGTCATTCATTGACCATCCACCAGAAATGAATTCAAGATGGCCTATTTTAATCAATATTCAATATTAATATTTATTTATGATTACATTGATTTACCTTCATTAACAAGTTTTCTTACTGTATTTTGCATATCTTCAGTTTGTTGTCTCCACCAACGCCAGAAAAAGGCTATTTCAACGTAAATAAAACGACGATCAGCATTCTCAAGTAATGCTTGAATAACTGAATCAAGAATATATTGAACAGCTGCATGTTGAATATCATTACGATCTAAGATAAAAGCAAAAGAATTTGCTATACGATATAATAATAAAAATTATACTGACTGCCATAAAAGTACTGATCTACAGTTTTCAACCAGCCAACATCATCATGGGTATGTGGAACAATATGAACATTAAGTTTATCCGGTTGACCTAAATTACACGCCTAGAAATAGAGTATATGAATGCAGAAATGGAACTTAATTATTTTGTTTTTCGTTAAATGTTGCTTACATCGTAGCCACAACTATTGACTGATTTGAATGGTGCTCCGAGACATCCCGAAATGAAGGCAGCAAATGCAATTGTACAATGTATGACTATGTGCATTTTCTAGTTTTTCAATATAAAACACCAAATTAAACGACAATAGCACCGACTAACAAGCAATATGAAATAGAATTTATCTAAAACAGAACGATATAAATATCAAGGCGTATGAGATCTCACCACAAGACTGGATGTATTTTGTGTCGTCGATAGAAATGAGAAAAGACTGATAACACGGTGTTGCTTGAAAGTGCTATTACTTTCGTTGCACATCTTATTTGTTAAGGGGTTATGCTGATAAGAAGATGTGTGACAAACAACTGTTTAACTGTCTTGAGACAAGACTAAATCAATGGGGTATTTGCAAAAACTGCGGATATCCAACATCCGTAGTTGCTTTAATTTTTACTTATATGAGATATTTTATAATTAAACACTATGCTAAGTAATTTATGTTTGGTTACTTTGATATCTAATTGTAAACCTAAAAATTAAAACTCTATGTAAGCAATATCATTTCATTTTTAATTAGATAATCAAATACGTTAGCATAATGTTTTCGTATTTCGTCGGTTGAAGATGTAGAACTAAATATTCAATAAATGATTATGCTATTTAATCTTTTAGTTTTAGTCATAGTGCGCTTTATTCAATAAAATATTAAAAACTTTTAAATGAGATAATCATTCTATGAATTCCATTGAGGTAATTATAAAAAATATGTACTGCGCTAAATGGCAATGGTTGACAATCATCCATTAGAATTCCTTAGTAGATGAAACCAATGTTAATGATTTTAATTCGGGCTTGTCCTGTTAAAAAAAGGAAGCAAAACTAATAGACCGCTTAACTGTCAATTGTGATTTTTTTAATAATCAGCTTTTGCCATCAGAGAACATCGGTGAACTGATAAGTTTTTAAATTGGAAAATGATGTATTTTATTTCTTGGCTTTCAATAAAACATCTTTTGAAGATAAATATGTATTTGAGTTCTCTTTTTGGATTAATATTTTCATCAAATCAGATTCGAGTACAAAGTAATTAAATTGTCTTACTGTTACGGTGAAAATCTTAAAGTTTCTTATTTTCAGGGAACACATCACTGTTCTATTTGATTGTCAACATTTTATACATCCCATTTATTGTCTAGTTCATGTCAGTCGAAATTAGGTCGATTGTTCGAATGTAATTGACTTATTTTTGTCGACGTTTATCTATAAGAGTTTGCTCTCGAGAGATAAACTTTGACGATTAATTTAGCTGAGTCAGATGAATGATTGGCCTGTCCAGATAATCTGACCTTTTTCTTTTCAATGCAATATAATTGTTACCAGTTTTATCCAACTAACAACTATTGACACTATAATGTAGTCTGATCGAATGATGCATCAGACAACAACGAAGCTTTCATTGGATGTGGGTATGGACCTTCTGTTTCACTATAAACTCAACACCCACACCCTTTTATAGGAAATCTAAAAATAAAATTTGTATCAAAACTCTTATGAATCACTGTAATAAACGCTTTGTAGAAAATTTGTCTTACCGATCCTTATCACTTATACCATTAAACCTCTCAATTATTTTTACAATCCGTCATTCATATAATGTAAGTAGTAGTAAAGTTTTCGGTGTTGTTTCAACTCTATCTTGCAATATTCAAACTATTATTTTAGACAATATTTTTAACAAGATAACTGTTTATTAATTTAATAACAGAATACTATTTTGTTTATTATATTGAAAAATAATTACAAAGAAAAATTTTTACACAATTAGTAATATTCATATTAGTTGTTGTTCAACAATTAATTCTACATTTGCATAATATGTACGTAAAAAATGGATTTGACAACATGAGATTCATCAATTTCAAAACGAAAAACAAGTTTGTTAAAGAACTATTTCCAACAATTATCTAATGAATCATCATTTCTTCATGACTATTAACACTATTTGGAAATGGCTATTGAATCAGTTGGTTTTTTCCTTGACATAAAACTTTAATACAGCTTTTTGCAATTTAAGTGTATCATTTGGTTACATAAGTATGAGTAACAAAACACGTGCTGATAACAATATCATTAGCAATATTAAAACAAAAAAATCTTCATCTTATATAAATCTTACACAGGCAGACGACACGTGGTATAAGGGTAGCAGTAAGATAAGGAAAGTCAAAAAAAAGCTATATACACCTAATCTACCCATAATAAAAGTTTTCATTTAAGAAATCTTGATTACCTGTCTCACACGATCTTCTTTTGCAACAACAAAAAACAATGACATCCAAACATCCATATGTATACATGACTGATCAAAAAATCAATCCTTTACTCATTTGTTGTATATGTCAAAAACCATTCGTAGATCCAGTCACGACCGTCGATCATAGACGAGGTTGTCGAGCATGTCTCACGGAATATTCGTCACATCGATTGCCGTCAGTAACTCCAATTCAAGAATGGATTGTACTAGAAATGCTCAATAGTCTTCTGGTAGAATGCACCAGATGTAAAGAAATAAATATTCGACGAGGTGATCTAAAACAACATGAAGAAGAATCATGTAAACGAGCCTTTGTACTTTGTAAAGCTGCCGATATAAAATGTCCATGGAAAGGTGTACGGGAAGAATTAGATGCACATCTGGAACAATGTGTTTTTGAGCCACTAAGACCAGTGCTAGCTGAAATAATTATGGGCAACAAACAATTTAAAGAAAAAATAGATACATTAGAAATATTAATTAAAAAATTCACGAAAGAAATTAAATGATAAGAAACATCTTCCAAAAACACTATCTATTGTGAAAATTTTGTAAGGGTGAATAAAATAAATGAATAAAAACATCAAATGCTTTTATTGTCTATGAATAATTATTTTTATATTTTTGACTTCTCTGCATACTATCTTAATCAAAATTTGATTAATATTAATTAATAAATATATATCGCATTCAATAATTAATATATGATTGCAAAAAAAAAACAACCAATCAAGATATTGATATTATAGTTTAACATGTAGTTTACACTAAAAATGCTCAGTGCGTGATCTTAATTCAGAAAAGATTCTGCATATAATTGGTGATACTATTCTAACAAATCTTTAATACATAATATAACATTAGAAAAACCTCTATCTGATTAATAATTTATTTTCAGATTTAAGAATTCACTTGTTATTTGAAGTATTTTCACCTAAGAAGCGGACACGTAAAAAACCTAAGTGAGAATCAAATGACACAGCACACGTAAGGATCTAACTCTTTTTGACAATGTTAAAAACAAATCAAACATAAAATCATTTCAATTTATCTGTACATAAAAGAAATAATTATGAAATAAACATTATTTCTATATGAACTTGCTCTTGATAAAACAGGCCTTGAAGAACCGTACCTTATTTATTTTCATATTTAAGCATATTTCAGATGTAACCAAATCAAAAGGGTAAAGTATTAAATAGTATTATTATTCTTTATGAAATGTTCAGACAATAGCTAAGTAAATTTCATTAACAATTACTTGATTTCTGTCATAATTTCATAATTATTTTTATAACTATGATGATCATTACATTTCTCGAAAACTTTTAATAGCACATATTTTCACTAACTATGAAATCACATAAAATCCGTCTCTATTACATGTTGATGTTATATGATCGAACAAATAGTCAAGTTTTCACGTAAGTGAACTCAGAAGTCGATTCGAGTAGTTCTAGCGGCGATTCGCCCAGGATGCGTTCCAGGTGTTTGCATGCATGTTCCAAGTACGGGGTTCGACATAATATTTTTTCACGGACAGGGGGGTGTTGCGATAATTTCAAATGAAGCAATTAATAAATTTCATATGAAACAAAAGCTTGTCGAAAATTGGACTTATAAGTATACAACAGTAAGGATTATTGAAACTTTCGTACGTTGAATTCTCTATATTTGTAATAGTTCATCGGCCACAGGTAAGAGAAAAATTATTTGTTACATAGAGTTCGAACTAAATGTGTTCCAAAATTCTTTATTGTTTCGTTGGCTAATGAATACAATCAGTAATCAATATGACGACCGTTAGCATTCTTTCCTGCTTGAAACCGAGATCAACACGAACATAAGAGTTTCCAACAATTCAGTATCGGATCCCATGTTTGCCAAAACATCTAAGACGCGAAGTTTAAGGGCGTCTTTAAAATAATGATTATGCCCAGTTTCTCATAACATTTTGTTTTCAACTTCACCTTTGATTATTCTTCCAATAAGTTCCATTACATTGAGATCGGGTGAATTTCCAGACCAGATACTGTTACCCCAAAATTTAAAGTCATTGTCTCGAACAAAATTTTGAATCTTATTTGCTCGTATACACGATGCATTATCATGGACAAATATGACTTCATTAGGATCAATAGTATTTTCTTCCTTAGTTAAGAAACGAAATACGTTGCGAGTCAAAATTATATCACGAAAATATCGACCATTTCAAGGTTTACCGTTATCTTTGATCACCTAGTGTACTCTCTTGGCAGTAAACATAATAAAAATCCTATTACACGCTTGATTTTTAACCATTTCACACTATCTTTCATCTTCTTCAACACCTCTTTTCCAAAATCGATCATTCTGATTATTTGATCTGCGGACAACCAAGACATGAAATTTATCAGATGGTGCGAGATGAAGGAAGTCCTCTTCAGCCCATTCTTTTAAACAATCGCGCAATCATAATCGATCTGACATATGAGCTTCCGATTTTAACGCTTGTCGAATAATACAGAACGGCTTATATCCTTCTCTACGACGGTAATTATTCATTGCTCTTGAGATGACATATCTCTTTTCTCTCATCCACAAATTCCCTTCACCACATCGGAACAATTTTTTCCTTGTCAACCACTAGCTTGTGATAATTTCAGCTTAGGACCATTATTGAAATTATCAGCTAAACATTAGTCATATAATTTTCCCCATCATTCAGTAACAAATCGACTTGTGTGGTGAACTTTTTTCATGACCCATTGTCTATTCATAAACGTTGCACCACCATCACGAGCTTCAAGAAAGATGATGCATTTAATTCTATCAATGATTCTCTGCTATTCATTATCATAAGCACCGCCTATTATCAAACAATTGAACTTTATTGAGTATGGGTGCTATCGCGAAGAATAGATACTCGCCCACGTCCTTTTTATTTTCAATCACAAGGATGGCAATAAGTCCTCTTTTGATCTTTTTAAAAATGTTTTTTTTTCTTTTCAGTCTTTCCGAAGTAGGTACAATTATTCTATTTATATGTATTTTTTCAATTTATTTTAGGTATTGAACAGTAAGAAAAAGATAATAGTGGAATAAGTTCTTCTATCTTTTTTATATAAATATTATTAACTATTTTTTTTTCTATCCTTTTAGTCATCAATATCATCATGTTACGTCATCGTTCAACATCAGAGAGTGAATGCGCTTTTTTTTCATGAGAAGAAAATAGGATGCAACGGGCGGTAGGTGAGTCGTACCTGTTGAGATCCCTTGAATAGGTTACTGCTCCTAAAAGTCTTTCGGGTAGGTTCGGAAAATTTGGTCAAGAATTGTCTTGGTATTGGTGATACACAATCGAGCCTGCATCGAGATGGTTCCTGGTCGTGTGCGCAAATGGAATAACCATGAGGTTTTTACATTCAATCGCGATTTATTCGAGAGTGAAAAAAATAAGAAAAAAGAATTGATCTTCTTTTTTTTGAGTCTATTCGATTGAAAATCGTTGAACACGATGATTCCGACGGTCGACGACATAGAGATTGCCATAACGATCTAAAGACAAGCCGCGAGGAAAGTTGAATTGATTTGCTTCTTTTCCTTGGCCATTTCCACCGACAATGACAGTGCCTTGTTTTACTCCTTGAGGCCAACGCATCACTCGATTATTCGCAGAGTCTGCCACATAGACGGTACCCATAGCATCGACGAATAGTCCTTGAGGATATGATAATTGTGTGAGGGCTATTCCTTGCCCCTGACCTCCAGCAACGACAATCCCTTCTGTTGCACCTTTATTCCATTTCATCACACGATGATTATTGAAGTCTGACACGTAGACAGCTAGTTGTTGATCGACAAAGACGTATCCCGGTCCGTTGAGTTGACTGAGGCGAGCTCCTTTGCCATACCCACCAGCCACAAGAGTTCCATTCTTGTCTCCTATTTTATATCGTCTTACTTCATCTCTGCCGGTGTCAGAGATGTAGAGATATCTCTGATCATCCATGGCCAATCCAAAACACCAGATGTTGTCGAGAAAGGTTTCTCCTTGAGTTGTGTTACTACGTCGAGAGCATCGTAGAACTCGTTGATTACCCCAATCACAGATAATGAGGCTATCCGTCTCTTTGTCAATCAACATATCGGTTGGTTGATTCAATTCATCCGATCGATTTCCTTTGCCATGGCCACCAGCTACCACTTCTCACTTCGTATCACCCATCTTCCATTGAACAATGCGATGATTGTAGAAGTCAGCAATGAGAATTGTTTCATCATCATCAACAAAAAGACCAAAAGGACGGTCGAGTTGATTGGTATGATTACCTGGTCCATGGCCTCCAGCAACGATCACTCCATTCTGTTTCCATTGAGCATTGGTTGGAATATTGGGGATAGCTAGCAAGAACAAGAAAAAGAAAAGCAGTTGTCACCGTTGCTCTTGAAGAGATGCCTCTCGTAAGAAAAATAGACACAAATGAGATATTCTTCTTCGAAGAGAATCTCTTTGCAGAACATCGTTCTTTTAATGGAGACCGAAACAAAGCAAAAACCAGATTGTTTCTCCTCGTTGAAGGGCTTCTTTTGTTTGTGAATTTAGCATAAGATGGTTTATTTTTCTTGCGAATTTCGTCTCACCAAAACTTGTGTAAAGAAGTTTCTTGTTGAGTGATTTTACAGTATCAAAAACAATTTACAAAAAAATATTGCACCCAACAAATGTCGATTCTATTCGAAAGTCTTCATAAAAAAAAGTTTTTGGATAGAATTTAGGAGGAAACGCTACAGTCTGCAGAAGGCATTCTTTTTCTTGTAACTTAAAATTGCTAGCCTTCCGAACAGATTTATCGGTAAAGGGAAAAGTTAAACGAGAAAGAAAAGTCAATTCTCTAGGATGCTAATCTAACAAACCTGTCACAAAATGGATATACCCAAATCTGTAGATTCGGAAACTATCTATGACAAAATAGTGATGCGCCTACCTAAAAATGAATCCTTCAAAATAACTAACTACTGTCGAACGATCTTTCGAGTTTTAGATATATCTCGTCTTCAAAGGCCTTGGGTAAGTATCCAACTGAAGCATACAAACTTAAGACCATGACAAAAACATCTTTATTCCCACTCAAACAGGATCACAAGAATACTATTGAAGGATATTAGTTAGATGCTAATAAGATCTGAAGTGCACGCTAAAAGGGTCCTCAACGAATCAGGAGACTAACTCGAGCACGTACTAAACTGAACTCAAGGATATCCTTGAACGATATCATGCAGTTGCTAATACGATTTCCCATGGACTGTACCAGAGTTTCAAGTATATCTTAACAGGATCTTAAGTGTGTCTTAGAATGATCTTAAGTAGATGGTCAAATAATATTACGGAGATTCTGAGAGAATCTAAATAAAAATCTTGAAATATCTAAAGATGATCCTATGATATTCCGCCGGGAGTTTCAAACAGTACTTGATCCGAGTTATTCAAAGACCAAAAGGATTTCACAAGAGAGTCTAAAGCAGACTCTAAGAAAATCCGCAGAGAATCATAAGATGGTTTGCAGTAGTTACGGACAAAATCATACGGGGTTCCTAAATGAATGTAAACCAAATGCTAACAGTATCTGAAATAGGTGCTTACACATGTGCAAGAGGATCTTAACAGGATCTGAAGAGAAACTTATTTGGATCCAGAGATGATCTATAACGAATTCAAAAGAGGACAGACGTGAAGGAAGAAAAGATACACTGACACATCCTCGAAAGTTGGCATGTTATTTATCATTTGGAGTATTTATATGTTGCGATCTTCCCTGACCTGAGAGAACTGGATTGATAGGTGATGAAACCACAATTGATATTGGTTGTAAGAGTGGAAACGGAGGACAGATTTCTTCCAGTTGAATAATGTGAAGATTACCCTGATCGAGACAACTGATTACTTTGAATTGAGTTGCAGCCATAAGAAGAACTTCGTCTTCAGCTGGGTAATACGAATACTTACGAATATCTTTAGCCGATTGACATTGTAAGTTAAATATTGTTCTGGCATCTGTCGTTCCCAGAAATAGTTCCGATTTCAAGACACCAACGGTAGTTGTGCAGGATGAGAAACCCCACCAGACAATTGTTTTTCCTTCAGTATACTGCTGGCTCAGATCTAATTTAACACCTCTGTATGCAACTGTGGGATGAAGTGGAAGACGAAAGAGTGCATTTAGAAAAAGTCTCATATAAAGATACCACGGTTTGAGTTGCTGTTGTCGATCCACTGATCGTAATGTTTTATTCAAGACCACGTAGAGACACTCGTCGAGTGGTTCCCATCCCATCGTGTAAAGCATAATCGAGGCGGATTCATCTTGTGTCAATTCATCGGCAGGTTTCTTACATCGTTGTTTTGCGACATAAGCGTGACTCTGAACATCTGGTAGAATAGGAACAAGTGGTTTGACTGCTTCTTCCAGTGGAACAAGTGGCATTTTCCCAAAACCGCTAATAGGTGCAAGAAATTCTAGTGGCTCCTGCACAACATCAGTAAGACGTAATATACGATGTATTGTTGCTTCTTGTGCTCCTCCTGTGGCCATATTTAGTAGGAATAAAGTTCTTCACAATATATTAAAATTATATCTGAAGAGGGCAAGATAACAACGATATTAAATCTGATATCCCTAAGAAGATATCTTCTCATGACGCTACCAAAGTAATCTAAAATTTTTGCATACAATTAGTATTCTGATAGAGATTTTATTAATACTGAATATACAATAGTTCCTAATCCACCGCTTCTTTGTGGTCTAATTTTATAACCGTTATTTTTCTTAGGATGAATTTCATTAAAGTATTACTGTTTCTTCCGAAACTTTTCTCAGACTATTATATCATTTATATTTTAATTTAATACTGATGGCGCAGGCTTTTCGGATATTATACGAGTGTCTTCTAAGATAATGTAAAGACAATGGATAGACAAATCTACAGATTTAGCTATAAAAAAATGCATGTTCTAGCATTACTTTTATGATGAGTGATTTACTGACAGTTCTTTATCTCTTTAAAAATTGCTCATCATGAACAATGTTATCCACTAAATGAATACAGAATTATAGCTGTTTCACCTAGAAAACAAGAATAAATGTTGTAGCATACTTTTTGGAAAATGTCAGTTTTGAACATTAGTTATGATGTTTTACTACTTTCATTTTCTTTAGAAAAAGTAGAACAAACCGACGAAGCCTTGAATGTTCGAAGCCACAAATGTATCAATTTCATTACACTAAAACTGTGCTATTCTAATGCGTCAGAATTTGAGGATCTTTGGTCACTTTCTTTAGAAACTTCAGAGCAAAAGATTTCGTAGCTAATAAGACTCAGAGCCGATAAAGTTTATCGATTCAGATATTCCTCATTAGCTATCGTGGCTTAAAATAATCCTAAAGTAAGGCTGCATTGTCGTTTACAATTAATTGTACACTAAGAAGGCAAAACTGTTAGCAATATATTATCCACGACAAATGTTCGCAAACAAGAATGTACTGTTGGCAAACCTATCGTTTTGTCCATGATTAATCATCCAGTAAAGAAGGATGTCGTAAATATAAATTATATTTTCGAATCGTTTCAATTTATCGCTGGAATACAATTAGAGAAGAAAGGTAGAGAGGCTTTTAGCGGTACCCCCAAGGCTTCATGCAAGAGGCCCGATATTTTACCTTTATTTTCCGGGACAATTGTATTAAACAAAGCTATTCGTTCTCACTTTTACGTATTTGTCTCTGATGTGAAACTTCTTGTCAACACCCATACTCAATGTTCTGCAGTACTGGACCTTTTGCCAATCTTTTCACACATAGCTATGTAACTAAAATATGATTCTACTAGCTCATAATCGCTATTATATATTCAGAAACGTTTCCATAACATTCTGACGCATAAAAACGAGACCAGAAAGCGTTCTCGCTCACTAGAAAACACTGTTGTTTTTTTCGACCTGCTTCGTCCCACTCTAACAACTTGCTATGTCGTACAAATCTTTGTTCCTTCACTGTTACTCATTGCAATGTGCCCAGGCAGATAAGACAACAAAAACCAACTTGTTAAGATGTAGCTATCACACTGTTTATACAGATTATTTACTGAATTTATATGTGTCAAGAAAGTATGACCTTACTTAAGAAGCATTATTCGAATATCTTTACACTCTTGAAAATGCCTATTCATCGTGTATGATCTTTTCATCTAGTCGAAGGAAATATGTTAGAGACTTTGTTTCGATAATTGCATCACTCTGTCGTTGTCTTACCGTTTCGAAGAATACTTTTTATCACTATTTTGGGTGATATAAGTACCTACTTAAGTTGTTATACCCAACAGATATTATTAAAAAACAGTTTTTCAACTCGAGGTTTTCGGGCTTTTAACGAGCTCAAAATTTTGCATGTCGTAAAACTGGTAAAATGACAAGTAAAAGTGATAAAAACACATCAATTTAAAAAGTACTACTCGTTTAAAAATAAACCACGACGTATCTTAGCAAGTCTTGTCGATCACCTTTTTTTCTATAAAAAAATATAAAAACTTCGAATTATTTTTGTATTTCATTTGCTTCGTGAATTCAATATTATTGTATTAGTTAAGCTCATTAGTGTCAGTAAAAGAAAAATCTTCTGTTTGCATATTATTAAATGAATGAATATAAAGAAAAAAAAGATCATCAAGATCATAGCCATTAATAGTATTTCCACATTTTGAAAGAATTATTAGCTTAACAGAAAGAGAATGGACAAAAAAGTAATGTTACTCGAAAATGCCGTATGCAAAAATGCCAGGCACATCTCACACATATCGTGGCTTTCCTCACAGAACAATGCCAGATTGAAGCTACCTGGCCTCTCTCCCTTAGACTTCTCTGTGTGGTTCGAAGCATTTTAGATTGACTTTAACAGAAACCTTGAAGAAGCGTAGCTTTTCATCTTCATCATTACCGACAAGGACCCTTTACTATTGAGTCGGTAGCATTTTTATATCTATCATCATCAAAGCCTTAGTTAAATTATGTTGATAGTTCCACGTCTGTCTCTAGATTAACTAAATATGATACATAGCATTGACAAAAAAAGTAAACAAACTAGTTATACAATAGACAGATATTGTAAATGAACTGAGACTAATTAAAACAATAATTAATTGTGAGATGAAAACAGCAAAGTGAATCAATAAGACTACTGACTAACAAAAATGCATTAGTTGATTGTTCAAAATACAGTCGATTATTGGGATCAATTGCATATTTATCTCAATCGTGTGTAGCATGGAGGGCAATATTAGTGATATGTGTGCGTTCTTTAATAGGTTAATGTATGGTTTTGACATTATTCTAATAAGTTACTCACCAGAATGAAACGAATAAAATCCACTATATGGAGAAAACTTTGTGTTGATGTGTTGTTGATTATGCTTGTTGTTGTATATGTAACACTGTTTGCTTGTTTTGTCTAATGATTATCTTTTTTACCTTTGCAGCAAGGTAATTTTATTTGTTTCTTGCCATTCGTTACTTCGAATAGATGTTTTTTCTTTTTTAATTTTTTTGTTATACACTCTATCGCGAAATTATTTACAGAAGATGCGCACGTTGCGCACAAAACGATATGCTTGAGTGATTTGTGCATAGTGTGTATTAAAAACAAAATAGTATCAAAACCGAATAGAAAAAATCAATTTATTTTGATTTTGAATCCCGTAATATGTTATATTCACATGTGCATATATAGATAATAAGCCTCAAAACAAGAGATTTTGATAGTTATTCTCATATGCATTTGATATTGCACTATTGCAATTGTAGATACTCGTCTTTATATTCTTCGAACAGTTTGTTTTGAACACAAATCTGGTTTCATAATATAAGGGCATCAAAACGATTGAATGTTTAATAACCAAATTATATCATTATAATTTATACGATGACTACACAATTGCTTACAAATTAACAGTTTGATTTACTTAAGAAAATTTATCGGCACAAAGTTCGTGAATTGCAAATAATTCAATAGAACTATTATCATACAAGTATCTAAAATAATTTCTAAGTCTGCCATCACAACAATAATATGGGTCTGTATAGATACTACGACAATTTTCAATAATTCCTGATAGATCATTGCATATTATAAGAGAACCATTGATAAACATGTAAAGTATGAGTGCTATAGTCAGTTTTTCTATCATCCAACAACACACTACACTTGTACTGACGGACACCCACAACCCCATCCACACTCATATCAATATCCTTGTTGCTGATGTTGTTACTTTGTATTACTGTTCGCTCATTAGATTTGGGTGTGGGTGTCAGCTTGTTGTTTCAAGCACGTTCTTCTTTGCTTTTTCGCCGATAATGTTATTGCCTGATAGAAGAAATAGAATGAATGTGTTGCCTTGACAGCTTCCGTGCGTCATGTTATTATGACGTTTGATGTAATTCTCCGCGCCTCCGCTATGACACATGAGAAAAACAATCAAACGAAAGCAATAGTTTTTCTTTACGAAATAAAAAGCACGTCTTTTTTTAAAATTGAAATCGCTATCGGTATGAAACAGCAGTGTATGTAACTCGACTGATTTTATTTTTCGCTACGAGTCACTCATCTGATGTGATTTCCAGTTTTGTTCGGATGGGGTCGTAAATTCTTTTTCCACATGTTTTAATATTAACAAAAGTACTTTGATTAACAAATAAGTCTGAAAGTATGGTTATGCGTGCAACGTATCGATTCTTTTGCTCTTTTTATTTTTAGATTAACATTTTGGATACGGACCAACCATTTGAATCTGTAGGAAAGCATATAAGATGCGCAATAATCCTCTCTCGCGTTCGATTACCAAAAGCAGCGTTTTAAATGTAATTGAGTTTAGGGGTGCAACAAATCCAAACCTTTGGGATTTGGTGTAAAAAGATTTGGGTTTCATTTGGACTTGGATTTGGATTTGGGTTTGGGTTTGGGTTTGGCCTCAAATTACCCAAATCCAATGAAGCGCTCTAAAACAAAGTACCAAAACAATGAAAATAATCAAAAGTCTTCAAAATTAATAAAAAACGATTCGGATTTGGTATAGATTTGGATTGGTATAGATTTGGATTGGTATAGATTTGGATTTGGTATGGATTTGGGATTTGGATTTGGTTGTAGATTTGGGTTTGGGATTTGAGTGCTTAAGATAACATTTGGAGTTCATGTTTTATCCCAGGGCTTATCCTAAGGGAGTACTCACAGGTCCTCAAGGGCTATCCTATGGGGTACCCATAGGACCTGAACGCCTATCGTATAGAAGTACCCGTAGGTCCTCAAGACCAATCCTATGGGGTACGCCAAGGGGGAAAAANTTAACATGAATCTTTTGAAAGATACAGTATTGGTATCATACGCTACTAATTCAAAAGTAGCAGAACGCGATCATTGATCGTTCTAGTTTAATTTTCATTACATTCAGTATTTCAAGTACTCTTGCATTATTTTGTATACTAAAGACCATTTTGGATTAAATTTGAATTTGAATAGTTGATTTTATTGTTCTGGTATCATAAAGTCGAAGGTATCATACTGAAATGGATGTATTTACGAATGATAAGAATTATAAAAAACGTGTGCTTATCTTTGAATTATGGAGTTTAAAAGTTGTTCGCTTTTGATAAACACATTACAGTATCACAAAATGCTCCCTGTTATATTGTGTATTCTTTTAGTGTGTGTCTATGTATACCTAAAGCGAGCTTATTTTACATTACGTCCAGAACTACCTGGTCTTTCACCGCATTTTCTATTTGGAAATCTCATTCAAACAGGAATCCTAAGCGGTCGTGTATCTCTACCAGAAGCTCTCGCAGCATTCAAAAAGCGTTACGGGGATATATATCAGTTTTGGTTGGGTCCATCATATAATATTATTGTCAATGACATTACTGATGTTCAACACATATTTTGCCATCGAAATATCTACGATCAAGGCGACTTTTTTATCGAGAAAGCGAGTGTTCTCTTTCCGGATGGTCTCCTTTGTACTAAAGGTTATTTGTTGCCTTGTTGCCTTTTCAGTTCTTTTTGTTCAGAGAAAAATCACGTTTTTCATACTAGGTGTACAATTCAAGCGTCATGCAACTGTCACATATCCGTTATTCCGCCGAGGTAAATTTACTCCTAATTTAGATTTACTTATAGAATGTGTTGATCAACTCTTGGCGAAATGGCGTCAAAAACCCGAAGGACAAGTACATACGGACATTTTTCAGCAATTTCACAAACTTATGCTAGCAATATTTGGTTTTATTGCATTTGATTATGATTTACGAACTTTGGAAGAAGATCATAAAACAGGTTCAAACGAACTTGCCGAAGCATTAGAAGTCATTAACAATGCCTTTCAATTAGTAACTTACGCTCCTCGTTGGTTATCGATTCTCTATCTGAAATTGAGTAGTCGTCATCAACGAGCTAAAAAGCTTGTCGAGCAATATCTTTATCGGATTATTGAACAAGAAATGAATGAGAGTCCAGAATTGAGAGCACAGCGAAAACGAACTAGTCTCATTGCATCATTAGTCGGATCAATACCATTCGATGAAAAAAACGAAGCAACGAAACGTGAAGAAGAAAAAACAGGTTCACTGAAAGCTCAAAGACTATAAATTATCATTCTATTTGTCTCATTGTAAAGGTCTATCGCGACAAGAAGTTCTCAATGAAATGTTGCTCTTTCTCAATGCTGGCTCAGATACAACTGCTACAGCTATTACATGGTTCATTCATTTAGTCAGTAAACACCCTCGCGTACAAGAAAAAATCAAAGCCGAATTGATCGCTAATGATGCAGCCAGTACACTTTCATTAAGTCATCTGGATTCATTAGTTTATTTGGATTGTGCTATCAATGAAGTTCTACGCTTCTGTCCACCGATCAGTGGAACACTGCGAACATTGACAACTGATGATCGTCTACCGAAGAGTGGTATCCGATTGTACAAGGGTGATTCGGTTTTAATACCATTTCATAATCTTTCACATGATCCCCGTTATTGGTCAATCGATCCTGAAAAATTCTATCCGGAACGATTTCTTGGTGAAGATAAAAATCACCCCACCTGTGCATTAATACCATTTGGCAGTGGCCACCGTCATTGTATTGGAGAAGATTTTGCTCGATTCAAGTTGAAAGTTATTATAGCTAGATTAATGCAACAAGTTACATTTGGTGATGGTGGCCCAAAATTAAATGCTGGTGGACATTCAAGCCAAGTAACTATTGTGCCAAAAAAAGTCGGCGTTACATTCACAATTACTTGACCAAGAATGAATATTTTCTCTTTACAATTTAACTTTTAGTTTGAGAAATTTATTGGTTTTTTTTGGCTTCTTATCTGAGAGGGAACATCGAATTCTTCATTATTCAGTAGTTGATATATTTTTTTCCTGTTAGAAAACTTATAATAAATTCAAAGAAAAATGATGATTTTTTAAATCTTTTGACTCTGACTCTTTTGGTCGAACTGCGGCATTTGTACAAAGAATCATTTGAATACAATTAGCTAAATTCAAGTCTTAGCTTTTTATTGAACATAGTTTGTCTTCTTGAATACGAAACTAGTTTACCATGATCTAAACGATAGCCATTTGGAAAGATACCTGCATGTACTAGGTTGGAAATAATATTATTCCAGGGGAAAGGATTGCCAACTGTACTCCATTTTGAGGTACAGTGCCTCCTTTCGACCTTTTGCACCCCACGAAAATGTGTACCACTGGGGTACGCGTTTTTGTACCCCATTTGGATTTGTTCATTAGTACTATCTAGATCGTCTTTTCATCAGAATAAAAAAAGAGCGCGGACCAATGGATTAACAGCCAATTGGAAGTTTTCATGATTTTCGGGGTGTGGGTGATTGTTATCCACTGAAAAGCCACCGAAAATTGCAGAAATCAGTTGGTATTGAGTGATATATTACTTCTGTGTTTGCTAACTTTAATGAGGTGCTTCTCTTGACCCCACCGGATGAGTCCATACATCTAACCCTATTCATACAATGCTGAGGTTCATATCAGGAGCAACTCCATATGATTTAAAACGTGTCCATGTAATTTACTTATTTCTGACTTTCACTTAGCTAGCAAGAAATTCCTACGGTGAACGTCATTTGTAGCCACATATTCAGTTTAGGACCTGCAGCCGTTCGTTGTGCTCTTACTATATTTTAAATCACACACTTCTTTTCTTAGTTTTCAAAGTAGAAGTAAATGCATCTTGCTTTGATTTACAAGATGCCTATTGATGATTGATAATTAATATAATAGGAAGAAGTACAGGACCTCATGGCCCGGCTCCAACCAAGCTTTTATTTCAATCGGGACGAACGATCTCAGAGTAATAGCTCGATTTTCCACAGATCTTATTGTAAGAAAATTAAACATTATGAAAAATTGTCTTCTGATCTCGTCTACAAAACGCACCAGTTTGAACCTGAAAAAAGGGAAGCATAATGGCGATCTATCCACTAACACCATAAAGCAATGCCAATCGGAAAGAACTTGTACAATGGATATCAAGCATTTGTTTTAGTGAAAATTTTTATTTCTTGAATAGAAATGTGACGAAGATATTTATAATCGAGAAAAGACATGCACCAGTTTCGATCTCACGAATTTCTGAAACTGGAATTGAGCTGAAACGCAATTGGTGCCAGTGGGACCCCGTGATGGGACTGTGGGAAAGTACGGTCTACCAGGGTTTGAACGAAAATCGAATTTTAGCAACATAAAATTGATATTTTGGTGCTTTCTATACAGAACTGCGTAATGATTAAAACGGAGTTCAGCTGACTTAGCGATCTTCCTGCTGTTTTTGCTTTCTAAAAGTCTCATGCCTTAAGATCCTCTGAGATTTGATTTTTCGGAAAGCTAATGATCCGTGCATCCCTAATTGAGAACGTCTTTGCTTGAACTTAAATATTCCATAGAGTATCCTACATACAGCACGTGGAATATGACGTTCTTTACTAAAAATACTGTTGTCCGCTGATTTGTTTATGAGAATTTCTTTTGTTTTAAACAACAATATTTTGTACCCCATGTATGTACCCCATTTGGAAAAAGTTGTACCCGACATGTACCCCATTTCAAAGTTTTTGGACCCCATTCGAGACCTGAACAGTTGTAAACTCTGCTAGGGGGGTACCGCCATTATTTCAAATAGAGTAACTAATGAATTTTATATCCAATTAAAGCCCGTGAAAAATGGAGTATTTTGATACTAAATAGTAAGGGTTACGAAAACTTTCGTATATTAAGCTTGCCAGAAATATCACATTTTATGTATGTCAAGTATGAAAAAAATTTCAGGAAATAAAGTTCGAGTAAATTCGATACAATATCATTTATTTTTTCTTCTTTTAATGAATACAATCAATAATCAGCATGACGGCCGGTAGCATTCTTTACTGGTCGAAGTCGAGATGGAGATGGATATGAACATAGAAGAATTTCGAATAACTCGGTATCTGTTTCCATATTTGTCAAAACGTCCAAAATGGGTAATTTGAGCGTGTTTTCAAGATATCGATAATGTCCACTTTCTAATAATATTTTTTTTCAACTTGATCTTTGATAATTGTTCCAATATGTTCTGCCACATTGAGATCGGGTGAATTTCAAGGTCAGATATCGTTACCTCAAAACTGAATAGCGCCATCATAAAGCAAATATTGAGTCTTATTTGTTCGCATGCACGGTCCTTTATCATGAACAAATATAACTTCATCAGCATCAATAACATTTTCTCCATTTCTTAAGACGGAAATCACATTTTCAGTCAAAATCGTGTCAAAAAAAGTCTTGACTTGTCCAAGATTCACCCTTATCTTTGATAGCTCAAAGTAACCTTTTGCAAGTAAACAACAAAAATCCCAATATACGCTTGATTTTTTACCATTTCATGATATCTTTCATCTTCTTCAACATCTTCAATACTTCTAGCCCAAATTCGATCGTTTTGTTAATTTGGTCTAAGAACAACACGCACACAAATTTGATCAGATGATGCGAGATGGAGAAACTCTTCGTCGGTCCAATCTTTTAGCCAATCGCACAATCACAATCGATCTGATATATTAGTTTCCGCTTTCAATCGTTTTCGAATAACATGAAACGGTTTTAATCCTTCTCTCGGACGGTAAGTATTTATTGTCCTTGGACTGACGTATTCCTTTTGTTTTTCTGCAATTTTCTTCGCCACAATTGAAGAACTCTTTCTTTGAAGAATACTTGATTTCAGAATAATGTTTTGGCTTGCTGTGGGTGATTTGAGTTAAGGACCAGTATTTGAATAATCAGCATAGCATTGATCATACGATTTTCCCCACCATTCAGTAACAAATCGAGTTGTGCAGTGAACATTTTTCGCGATCCATTCTCTATTTGGTGGGGTGTGGGTGTGTGACTTTTGTTTTCTTATACCCATACCCACACCCACACCCTCTATCGGACTATATAGAGACAAAGTTTCTTAAAGGGTACTACATGATATAAAAATGTCATGGTCACTACTTTTGGATATCACTAAGTAGCTGAATGAAAATCTGGATCATGGCAGTAGGGGTGAGGAAGTTATTGTTATTTTTTTGTTATTAATAACAATAACATTAACTTTTTGATTCAGAACACCCAATGAAATAAATCTAAGCAAAGTTTGCATGACGTTCAAAGGATTACTCTAATATCAAAGTATCTTTTCTTACCATTGGACATAACAGCTTGTGGTAAACAATTAGAGAAATTTTAATATAACATATTTTGTTATTGTTATTGCTAAATAACAATAACAATAAAAATAACAAAAAACATTATGTTAGTATTTCTTAAACATTTTATCACAAGTTGTTATATCCAACGGTAAGAAACGATACTTTGATAATAGAGTAATCCTTTGACGTTCGTACAAGCTATGCTTAGATTTTTTTCATTGACTGTTTTGAATCAAAAATTTAATGTTATTGTTATTAATAACAAAAAAATAACAATAACTTTCTCACTTCTACATGGCAGCTAGACATCCATTTGTGTTTGTGAAAGCAGATCAATCGAATTGAGGTGTATTCCTCTCCTTAACAAAGATGTTTCTACCAAACGCATAGATAAAACAATGTCTGTTGCATGATAATAGCAACAATGTGAATTGCATATTGTACAAAAGAAATCTTTTGACAAGGATCGATCTCTCTATCAAGTGTGTGTGCTTTTCATTGTTTCTCTATAAAATAATGTGCCTTGTAAAGAGTAACCAAAATGTATGACGAGTATAGCTACAAGAGCCACGGCGGCCTTCTTTTTCTCTTATGTATACCTTTTGTATTCTTTTTACTATTTCTTTCTCTGTCTTCTACTCGTTGTGAAGCTGCTACGGTAGAGAATATGCATAAAAAAATGCGCGCTTGCCTTCATGCATCATTAAATACTTCATCGAGTCTGTCATTTGCCTATTCATTCTTTTTACATATACGAGAAAAAGAATACTATTTCTTAATAAAAGTGGTAAGTTCTAAATATCATTTATTTTATCATTTGCACGTTTTTCGTCGGAGAAATTCTTTTAAATATTTGATTCTCAAGATATGGTGACGTTATTTTTTATCAGTACTGTCCCAAAGTCTTAAATTTTTGAGATTGGTTTTTCAAGATATACAATTAGGTTTTGGTCATAATCAAAGACAGATATTTGTGAAACACGCTATGACACCCGAACCCACATTCGGTATTATGATTACACCGAGCACAATGGACGAATGCCATCAAGATTAGCGATGACTCAAAAGACTAAGATATTAAGAGAGATAATCCATCACTTTAACTTTACTTTAAAAGTTAAAATAGCCCTACTTTAAATTTTAACTTTAAACTTTTTAAAGTTAAAGTGCCCTTTTTCCTATGAGAGCAAATTTTTGTTAAAGATTCATAAAAATTAATCAATATTCATAAAAGTATCAACGACTATTTATGAACTACGTAACATGACTATTCATAGCTCGTTGGTCGAGTGAAAAATTTTCGATTAGGAATTCGACTTTGGAGAAAAAAATCAAGATTTTAACCGATTAAAATCTTGATTTTGTTTCACAGAAGTCGAATTCCTAATCAAAAATTTTTCACTGGAGACTACACTCTAAAAAAAAAGGTTTTTTACCGAATCCCCGAAAAAGGTTCCGTCGATTTGAAAAAGCTTGCAAATACATTCAAATGCTCAAAAAACGATTTTTCAGTTCTACGAAACCTTTAAAGGTTCTTCCCCTGGGCACACG